GGCAACCAATGAACACCTAACAAGCAATATCGAAATACCAAAAAAAAAATCGGTAAAACAAATTTTAAATATAAAACAGTTCCAAGAGTATTTGCAAATGCACAAAACAGTCCACCGTAGCCCTAAATTGGTGGAAGTACAGGTAAAGCAGGTCAAAACGAGCGAAGCATTTTGCTTTAGAATCCGGGTCAGTAAGTCAGGTCACGTCGATTGCCATCACGGTCGGACTCGACGCAGCCCGTTACTATCCTCTGAATAGAAATGATCTTTAAGTCCTGTTATTTTTAGTCGCTGTTAGCCACATTAAAAATTTTTGAACCCAGCATGGAGGCCCTAAAGCTTGAATAGTGGCAAAGAACTGCTATTGAAAATGGTTGGGGTTAGAAAATTTGTTGGGAAGTAAATTGGTGTTAGGCGTATTGTAAATCCGTATGAGTGATGTGTTCCAGTTTGAAAGGTGTTGTATTGAATTGAATACAATTGTGATTTAGAGCTCGTGTCTCAAGGAGGATCGAGGTAATGCAGTTGCGGTGTGTATGGGCTGCGGTGATTGCTTAGGGACCAGGCGGATCAAGGTTAAAATATCAGCAATAATATTAAACAATACACTTTGATGTATAAAGTTTATATGATAAATACTTATTATTCTATATTAACGAGGTACGTAATGGTTTTTCAACGCATCAAATTTTCTTGTCAGGTGCTTTAGATTAAATCGTTTCTTGAGGAATAAACTCCAAAAAACGTGTTTATTTACATTATAAAATATTTATAGGTACGTAACAACTTTTGCACTTACTGATTACCTTTACAAATGCAAAAGTGACTTCAGATACAACCCTATTAGTAATGTACGCAATGTAAATGCCATTATTTTAATTTAGTGTCTGGTGTCTTGACGTCATGCGCGGTTCACGTCATAGCAATGACGTCACTCTCCCTCACTGAGCTCCAATTTCCAACCCCATCCTACGAATTTTCCCAATGAGATCCATTGACCGACTTACGCGGAAGGTTATATTTGAATGTCACTATCAAGATTACTGAATGTCAACATATCGATGTGATTTATATTTTTATCTGCGAAACTATTTCACAAGATGCGTTTTAAAATTTGATTTTAGAATGATATTATATGTATGTAGTTACAACGGTTACATATTATCTTTTGGAATGTGACCATCATTATCGAATTGATATGAATTGTTACGGATAAACGTTGCGTAATTATTGACCTTGAAAAGAAGTCGACCGAATATGTTATTTATGTAACATTTTGAGCATGTTGAAATAATTCTTTTAATAAGAAATCAATAATAATTGTCGATCTATATTTCAATCTTACACTAAGCAAATAACATACCCAATAATTAATCACTGAAGTTGGTCGATCGTACTTTTCTATTGCGTTTCGTTTTTCTTGTGACGTAATCCAAAAAAAAATATTGATGTCTTTTGTGATTGATGGTGTTCCGATTATGAGATCTTTCGATCTACAAATATAACTAAATCTTATTAGAACCCACAAAATCTATCAGTGGATTTTGTGAAAATTTTTTTTTAATGTTTATAATGTATGTAATAAATAAACACTTTTATACTCTTCATTTGGAAAGTGTTTTTCGAAGTTGGCCTCACTTTCTGGATGGATGCGATGACCTAGTATTGATCCTGACGAAATAGGGCGCGACCTGTTTTCCGTTGCATCACACCCAAGAGGTGTTTGTTGCATTGATAATCCGATACTCGATATCGTCTTGTTTGTGAAATTTATGTAACTAGTCTGGTTAAACAATAAGATTTTTTAAAACTGGCCCACTAGAATTTATTGTCTGTTACAATGAGGAATCTTTTGTTCTTCTGGAATATTCTATCGATTTGAATATACGTGACTGTTGTTTGTTAACTTAATTTTCTATGTAGCTCCCTGGCCTTCGATCGTTTTAGTGTTATGCTCAATAAAAGTCAGACACGGAAAATCAGCGACTACCTCGTACCGGTACCGACGTAGCTTTAATAACAAAACGACGTTTTAATTTATATCAGTCAAGATTCAACAGCCGATGGTGAAAAGTTAATGCATAAAAGATTTTTACCTAGAAGAGTAACGGGGGCGGGCGGCTTGAGGTGGAATTGTGAATAATTCATAACCAGATGCGGATGGATCGATTTGACACTGCTCCCAGTGAATGTGATTAAACATTTGAAGCGTTAAACATAAATGCAACAAGGCCCTCTGGTTCGTCGGTAACGCGTTTCAAATTATGCACCGCTATACTATTGTGAAAGTTGAATTGCATGCAGTTTCTCCCACCCACGTTCTCTACGTCAGGCGTTCACTTCTTGAAACTATACATAGCGCACCTTCTGAATTTGTTTTATTAATTAATTTATTTTATAATATTAGCTAATTCATAAATCTTCACAAATAATTTTTCGTTTCATGATTTTTATTTTATTTATCAGGAGGAAGTTTCTAGATATAAAATAAATCATTCGTTATCGGCAGGTTTATCGAATATACTATTACATTATCAGGCCATTCGTTTATTCGTGAAATGTAATCTTAAGACGAATCAATATCATGGATGAAATATTTTCTGTCTAATATAATGATATGATGTTGCTATACGGCGCCAGTGACTGGCCTTCGGCTGTGGAATCGATTTTATTGAGATTTTTAAACTGCTGATTTTAATATTTCTACAAATTTACGATAACTACTTACTAGAACAATTATTACTAAAATGCTTTTATTACCGAATAGACAGGTAGATAGAAAAGCTGTTAATCTTTGAAATGTCGCGTAAACTGAACACTTTAACTTCATAACGTGTGACGTCGTGGGGGGGGGGGTCAAAATAAACTTCGAGCCAACCATAAATACACTGTAACATAATACACGACACGATTAGCAGCCACATGTAACATCATGCGTTATGATCGGTGTTTAACTTCTTTTGATATAATTACATTTTTATCTTAATAATATTAGATTTTTACTTAGTGATTTAAATCTTGAATTTTCACAAAAATAATGATTGAATGATCGTTATAATTTAAGTAAGATAGTTTAAATTCCTTCTTTTTCTAATGGTTTTATTGTTGACAAAACCGGCACTAAGTACCAGATAAAGGGTAGAGACAGTTTTAGGTGTGCTAATCAATTAAACCTTCCGACTGAAAATAGATAACTGATCATCTTTCTTTCTAGTTTATGGCTACAATTATTGTCTAGCTAAATGACAAAGGGTCGCGTTTTATTTTAATAATAGGGACAGTTAACGAAATGAGCTATGAAAAAGCCCTTATTTTGAGATTATCATAATTACCGCCAACGCTTGCTAGGTACAATAATGGAATTGTTCAAGTTTCAATTGTTTTGGAAAATATTCCAAGGAAAACTTGTAAAACACGTGTTTCGTGGGAGTATTTGAATAAACAGCATTTAATAATTGTTACGTTAACAAGGCACGTTGCAGAGAAATTCACGTTCCGTTCAAGTCACGTGTCCTGAACCTGCCGCAACAGACTAGAATTGTCACAAAATTACTCATTTTGTTTATTTTTTTACGATTGTCGACTTAATTAATAGGAGTTCCTTACAGGTCATTACGGATCCTCCCGATCCATTAACGGTGCTTTTAGGTACCACAAGCACCTGTCACCGTCCTGGTCGAACCCGTCGCTTGCGGCGAAGGGCTCGACGAGCGAATTAACCCATAGAGAGACAGCCCACTGAGTTTCTCGCCGGATCTTCTCGGTGGGTCGCGTTTCCGATACGGTGGTAGATTCTGCGAAGCACTGCTCTTGCTAGGGCCAGTGTTAGCAACACTTCGGTTTGAGCCCCGTGAGGTCACCTACATGTTAGGGCGAAGCTGAAATAGCCTCTCAAGGCTATCAGCATAGGTAGGAAAAATGGAGTTCATTGTTCAAAAAATCTCCAAGTCGATGTAGTTTTTTGAAAATATTCTTTTATTGAGTAATGAGTATGAAAATGATATGGATTAAGTACTTACCTTGTAACTTAAACATTATTGCAAAAATACTTTTCTTTCAATAAAATCGTAATAAAAAATAAAACAAGTGCACGTATAATGATATTAGTGGGCATAAAGTATCTGAGCCCCTGGAACAGATGAGATAAATTGTTATTTGCTTTACTTCTTAAAAATTATTGAACTAGATAATTTGCTCTCGTTGTGGGTGGATCTAATTTTATCCTTAGCCGGTAACCGTGGGGTGGGTATGGATTGGGCGTGTACACATGTGCATAAGATTTTCAAATACGATAATGTTCCTTGATTTTAGTAAAATTATTTAGGTTTTAAGTCGTTTTTCTTTTTTCGTTTTGATTGCTGAAATTATGTGTTGATCGTTATTTATATTATTAAAGCGTGGCACAAGCTTGCCTCTCTCGTTTCTATGTTTAGAACGTGCCCGATTGATGTTGACTGCGGTGTGTGGTACAAATTTAATGTCGGCTTGTATTATAACCGCGATGTACATTCGTTTTAATAATCTCGAATCATCTTTCTTGTGGATCAAATGATGTATCTCATTTTAAACTCGGACCATGGTTACCGTTGTGGTGTTCTGAGAAAGTGTTTTGTTGGGGAAGCCTATGTACCTACCGTAAGGTTTCTTAAACTTCTCATGTTTGTTTTGGAAACAATATCAAGTGACGGCGCCTCCACAATACGAGATCTTGTTTAGTCTAAAATGTCACATAGACTGTATTTATAAAAAAGAATATCATAACGCCGATGTTTGCGTTGATTAATGTTGTTCGATGTCGTTTGAAATAGGCTATTCGAGAAAAGTTTGAAAACATTGGCCAAGTTCTTATAGTTTAAGCGCGTATATTGTGAACGTGGGCGGCGTTCTGGTACAGTGTGTCTGGCGGGTGACGCCGACGCCCCCGCCGCGCCGGCCTCGCGCCGTGACGTCATCGTCACTCGCAGCGCTGGTGCCCGGTGCGTCGAGCGACGAGCGGGCGGGGAGAGCGAGTTAGTCTATGCACGACCGCGGCACGGACAGTGTCGAACCGCTGCAATGTAAACTTCTAACCTTCAATTCTGTCTATAACGACAGTTTCTGTTGCGCGTGCAAATAGTTTCAGTTCTTTCATCGGTTGAAAAACTTTAGTTTTGTGTTATTATCTATATTCTGCCTAGCGGAAGTATGTAAGTACGTTTTCGTGTCACTATTTTATTACGGTGTTCCATTGTTGAAACCGCCCTGCCATTAATAAAATTAATGCCTGAAAGAAGTATATAACGTAACGCATTATTTCATTCTTATTTATAGTAGAAAAATTAATGTATGATCGTTTAAAATATATGAGATCAACAGGTCCACATTAGTCCACGTTCTAGACGTTCACGCTAAATTTTTCCACAGCAACATTACAAATAAATGTTTCCTGTCCAAGCGTTTCTGCACTATTTATTATTATTATTTATATTGGGAATTGTACGTCATAAATACTAGTTAGTTTTCATTTTCTTATGTCTAATACCAAGTCATTACATTTATCACGCATGCCGAAGCAGTTACAGGTAGGTTTATCATTACAGTATAGATATGTCGGTTATACAGTACAGACATATCGGGTAATTGTTAATAGTCACGTTTTAAGCTAATTCTTACCTAAACTTTTAAAATATTGTAGGTAAATGCTTTATTTTTGGAACGTGAACGGGTGTGGTCAGTAAGTCGTAATTATGATTGTTGAAAATTTATTTAAAACTAAAAGAATGTGTTGCAAAAATTCGAACTATAGTAGTGCGTGATACTTGGAGAATGTAAAAAGCTTCATCTGTGGTGCCTCATTACGTCAGGACCGATGTCACTAGTTTCACGGTCGAATAGCTATCAAACGAATTGCTCGTTCCTAACATTTTTAGTAATTTTCTGCTACATTCACAATTTGAGATTAAAACAAGCAGCTACCATATTAATGTGAATTAAATAATTTTTCTTCGCTGCGCATAAAAACGTGTAGTAGATCTTTCTTTGTGGATTCATTTGTAAGCATATGGGTCTTTTATTTCATTTCCCTCTCTAATGTATGAATATGAATAATGTTTTTCCACAGGATGGCATTCAAATTATAATCAAATAAAAGAGCTTTGTTAGAACGTATTGTTTGTATTGTTTTCATATAAGGTAAATTATTTTGAGATGCATGCTTGTGGCATTTATAGCTACGCGATCTTAAACAATAGCCAGCAGACATTGTTGCCTTTGCAAAACATCCTGATGAGATTGTATCAACATTTACCGTAACAGCTTGTACTATAAACATTTAAACAAGTATATTAAAAAAAAAGACAGAACTCACTCGTAATAGGGGCTTAAAAATATGCTACTAATCCCGCTTAAAAGTTTTCTGCCTTATAATTAATTTCATTATGTTCATACTTTTTTTTTAAAGGATTTTATGACCTGGTAACTAAGACCTTTAAGTCATGTCTTATTTTAATTTATATTCTTATTTTTATGAAAATTAAATTTAAACTTATTTTAAATTTAAACAGATTAGTTAAGAAGTCCAACTGAATTTGTCATATTTCTTAAGGTGAATGTTTTAATATTAAAAATACATTGCAGCTCAAATTGTAGAAGACATAAAATGATTTACCTAATTGATTCTGTATCAATTCATTTTTCGATTCTAGATACAAGACTACATTCATCAGATCATAATACAAAACTTCATTATTAACATCGACGACTGATAATAATAATTTCACGCAAATTTATATAAATAAAACTCTGTAATTATAATTCATATTTATCGACATCCTAAACACAAGGTCGGTTAAATTTTTCTAATTCTAAATTTTTGGTCTTTCTTTTTTATCTCTCTTGGGACCGCGACCTCTAAACTAGCTACTGCTACTGGTGAATTATTTAAGGAAACCTTATCCTAAAAAGTCAGATTAGCTAGAACTCGATCTCCGTACAATTATAAAATCATTAAAACTGATAATTGTCATAGAATATTCCAGAAAGGTTTATTACAATTAAATTGTTTTTTAATCACTCACCAGATAATGAGTAACATTATCGGTAATTTAATAATACCTTCACAGATATAATCATTACCATTCTTCCAATAAATAATATGCATTATCAGAATAAATTGTCATGTTTTGTAGACTGTAAATTACTTATATAAGAGGAAAATAAAAAATACAAACTTGGAACATTAAGCAGCACGTTGTATATTTAAGTTATCGTGTAAATTTGAAAATGGGCGTTTTATGCTAAAAAATATTTTTATGTTGCTCATGTAGAGAAGTTATTATTTAACTGCTTTAATTTTAAATTTATTGTTCTATTTATCTATCTATGGTTGCATTCATCTCCCAAATGGCTGAACTGAATTCTAATGAGACTCATTGATGCGTACTTTAATTTGTTAATTAAAGGATAAGTATTTTGTAAAATTTAATGCAGAGTTAAATATAATTTACAAAAAGAGCATTTTATTTTATTATATTGGGTACCGCAATGTAGACTTTACTTGTTATGGACCGGCAGAATATTATCGTAGTCGCTCGGAGCCGTTCTTTGTGGAGGTCAAAATAGTGTCAATACGAGAAGAGAAACAGTTTGCATTCTTACACACATCATCTTCTCGAATTATAACTCTAAGCTTAAAACTTATTAATTTTACAGGAGAGTGTTTTAAAGGTTTAACATCTAATATTTTTAATATTAAGCATCTTTGCAACATTTATTTTTTACCAGTTATATTATCTGTCTTTTAAAGTAAGATAAAATTATGTATTAATTTTGTTAAAGTAGTCAAAATATAGGTAAATATAAAAAATAAAAATAAAATAAACTATGCTCTTTTGACAGTATTTATAAGAAAAATACGGTGATATCAAATGATTCCGCATATTAACTCAATTTCGAGTATTTTTGGAAATTGTACACTTTTAATGCGAAAAGACGACATGTGCTTGCGACTGTCGCATGTGAGGCTCTTGGAACAACTTCCCACCCTCTATTTGCAAAAAGTTCCATAATAATGAACACATATAGAACTGAGATGTTTTTGAATAAGTTTCCCCGAAACTGTCAATAATGTTATCATTATAAATAAACATTAAATAGCGGATAAACGATTTCGTCTAAAAATAAATTTCAATAAATTGGCACATATCGTCGACAGCCAATTAGATTGCCAATTCGTACCACGCTGCGAGCGAACATTGTTGATATCATAACATAACGCGAATGGCTTCCTTAAAATGGGATTTGTTGGAAATATTCAGCACACGATTAATATGGCTCTCTCGAGGAGAGTTTAATAGCTGAAAATCTTATAAATAAGTTCGCCTTCATCCTAAATTGTATAAATTTTGGCGCGATCCCAACTCCCATTTCGCATCGGAATGTAGAGACAACGAGTACAGATAACGATAAGTTTAACCACAGTTGCCCACCGTGTAATCGGTATGTGACAATGATTTTGCTTTAAAACATTATTTAGATGTAAACACGACGTCGGTATAAATATATTGACGTATTTCTATCCCACGCCAATGTTTTTGTTGCCAAAATATCTTGCGCCGCATTTTAGAATTCGCGTCTCATCCGACTTCATTTCACTCTGTTCGCTAAATGAGTTATCTCGATCTTATCATGCTAATATTTATTCTTTGTCTTAATGATTTCGTACAGTTGCTAATTGAAGTGGTGTGCGTGTTGTCGGCATTAATAATAAATTTGACTTATCAACGACGATGCTTTAGGAACGTTTTGATAAGTGTTTAATCAATAACCTACGTAAGTGAACACATGTTATCTGTGTATGATCAAACATGCTCGCGGTAAAATATCATAGCCAACGAATGAAAGCGATGTGTCTGTTTCATTATGATAATAAAAAATGTAGAAATAAATGTTTACTGTGATGTTAGAGGTTGTTAGCGGACAACGTTATCGTTCGTATCGCAAATGTAAATAGTTGATTTATTTTAAATAATTAAATATACACGGGACCGAATTCCGAAAAACGAATTATAAACTAACTATCAGTGAAGTGGAGTCATCGATTAATGTATTTACAATTGTTTTGTTTTTCGATCGCAGCTGGAGATCCCTTCTGTGGTGACATTGATGGAGTTCCGCTTGGACAGCGCGGAGTACTGCCAGGCTCAACACAAATAAACAGGAAGTGTTTCCGTGAAGGCGAGAGCAGGAGAGCGCCATCCGCTGGACCCATGCTGCCGGTAGCGGCGGTGACTAGACGCACCTCGCGCACTGTTCCACATACCTACCCATCATCAGGTACCTACATGTCGTTTTGTCACATAAATACTCAGTTCAAACTAGATTACCAGCTAATGCCTCCTTTTTTCTGTGATCTCGTCTTCTCGCATTAAAATTGTATAATCTCAAAACTTACTAATTTTACAGGAGAGTGTTTTAAAGGTTTAACATGTGATATTTTTAATATTAATCATCTTTGCAACATTTATTTTTTATTTTTTACCATTTACATTGTCTTTTAAAGTAAAATAAAACTATGTATTAATTTTGTTAATAGTAGTGTCAAAATATAGGTAACCTAAAAAAAAAAAAACTAAAACTAAACTACGCTTTTTTGACAGTATTTATGAAAAAAATTCTGGTGATACCCAATGATTCTCCGCATATTAATTAACTCAATTTCGAATATTTTTGGAAATTGTACACTTTTAATGCGAAAAGACGATCTGTTATGACAAAGTGTTTTTTGAATTGTATTTGCAATCTTTTCTCCATTTCGAATTAATACAACAAAAATGCACGTTTTTTCCTTATCACATAATAAAATTAAATCAAACGTGCCGGCACAATAAGACACGTATTTTCTGGTTCTCCGCAACGTCGTGATAACTTTATTTAAAAAGTTACATCACTATGTTAACTCGGGCCGCAGGTATTATTATATTATCAGGGCGGGGTGCAGACTGCTTCGTGTTTTGTGTTATCACGCAGTTGAGCGGAGAGTGCAGATCGTGACGTTCAGTTGGCCGCGGATCAGATCATAAATACCGTTGCCGATGGCGCACAAGACGTTCGCTGGTACTTCAGACATTCGCATGACCTAAACTTCGTTTTATCCCGTTTTTATTTTTAGAAGTTATTTTTTTATTCCACTTCAGTCGCCAGGTCTGGCTTTGACGCACGGTCGCCGGGAAAATGAAATGCGAAATAAATCAACAAAATATTGGGTGCGCATCAAATGTTCTAACGAGCGACTTGTTTTTTTGTTTGTTTCAGTTACCTTAAATTCGGAGCTCCGCTGCTGTTGAGCACAGCCAACAATTCAGTTGCAGAAGTTTTTAAAGGGCCTATGTTTCCGAGTGATTTAATTTAATTTGTTTCCACATTCTGAACTTTTGTTTGATCGCTTTCGGATGCGTTCGAGTGGTTGAAAACGACATCAATGCGGGCAGTTCCCATTATATAATTGGACCCTTTCAAAACAAAAGCTACGAGACTGTCGTGTGTTGTGTGGAAATAGAGTGACAGTTTGTCTGTTCGATTGTGACGGGACCGTTAGGCGGTTGTGAAGTGAAGCTATACCAGCCGAGTGCGGAAGTGACTGCCCGAGCCGGCTTCGATCTCGCCCAGCAGAAGAGAAGCAGCGGTGACCATGAAGCAGAAGGACATTAGACCGGCGCCTTCCCTCATCGAGTACAAGGGGATGCGCTTCCTCATCACCGACCGCCCATCGGACGTGTCCATTCAGGCGTATCTGCAGGTGACCGACTCGGTTTTTACCTACGTTTTGATTTTTCTGACCCCGTGTATAGAGATAGCTATTGTTTGTTGCATACCATTTTGTTGCACTTGTTAGATTTTTCGGTCACCGTCCTCGTCGAACCCGTCGCTTGTGACGAAGGGCTCGACGAGCGAATTAACCCATAGACACAACCCACTGAGTTTCTCGCCGGATCTTCTCTGTGGTTCGCGTTTCCGATCCGGTGGTAGATTCTGCGAAGCACTGCTCTTGCTAGGGCCAGTGTTAGCACCACTCCGGTTTGAGCCCCGTGAGCTCAAGGTACACGTTAGGGCGAAGTTAATATAGCCTCTCAAGACTATCAGCATAGGTAGGAACAAAAAAATATTAAATTTTTTGTAACTTGTAACCCACAATATGAATTCTATTGTGTCAAAATAACATTTCAAAGCCAAATGTGCCTACATATCGCAAATACGGTGCGATAATGTCACTTATGCAAATTATATAATTTTTCATGAGAAAAGTTGGAAAATTCATCTTATTATATAATTCTTATATAGTTCTGCTAGACTATAGAAATAAAATGATAATATTTAAACTACAAACTTCATCAGTAAAAGTAAACATCTGTCTCGTCTCACTATAACCAATAACTAAAAAATGTATTTTCTCATACTGAGTTCACCATAAAAAAAATTGCTTAAGTGACTGTATAGCACCGTATGTGCGATATATTATAATGATATCGAATATTCTAGAATAACAAGATTAGTTTAGTCTTTAATCACATTTTTAAATTAATATTGTAAATCGTATTATTAAATTATGAAAAACTGAACTATTCTCTTCACTGAATGACAGACAGGTCAGTGAATCTGTGTAAGAAAAACCTTTTTTTTTTTAACTAAATAGTTTTAAAGGTTTTAAAAACGAAGAGTTTTTCTCTACATATATAGTGCCGTGTATCTAAATAGCATCTGTCAATTTATCGACATTTAAAAAACCGAAAAATCAAAAAGTCATGAATGATTAGGTACTGTCGCTGCCACTAGTGACGTGCAACAGTAATTCAATTGAACTTTTTTTTTCTTACATAATCTTATAGCCTTGAGAGACTATGTCAGCGTAAAGTACTATCGTAAACTCATTCATCTTCGTTGAAAAATATTGATAGGCACTACTTAATCCAGTTCACGCTTCACTGTTAGTGCTTACTGACGTAGATCGACAGATGAGTTTGTCTAGTTTGTCTGGTACCAAACGTTTGTTAGAATCCATTGATATAATTATCTATCGTATTAAATTGTCTACCTTACCCTCTTTATCGGAACACATGTTTTCTACACTAATATGCTGAATTTACGACTAATTATGTTATTTGTATTTTTAGGGGTTGTTTTTATTACACAATTAAACATATTAAATACAGGGATTTGTTTAAGCTATTTGGCTATATATAGTTATTGAGGCGATGACATCCTCATGGTATTATTTATTTAATTATATACGCAGACGAACAGTTATAAATTTTACAATAAGAACATTAGTGAAATCGAAATTATAGGATTTCTTCAAGTGACAGTAATATAGAAAACGAACAAAGAAAGAATTTCAACTAATGTATATATTTTATTGCTTAGATGGGTGGACCAGCTCACGGCCCACCTGATGTTAAGTGGCTACCGGAGCCCGTAGACATCTAAAACGTAAATGCCGCCACCCACCTTGAGACACGAGTTCTAAGGTCTCACTTTTAACAAAACAACAACTGCCCCGCCCTTAAAACCGAAACGCTTTACTGCTTCACGGCAGAAATAGGCAGGGTGGTGGTACCTACCCGTGCGGTCTCTTAAGACGTCCTACCACCAGTAAGAGTTGTTATTATAGGAGTTATTATTATTATTATAGGAGTTGTTATTATTATTATAGGAGTTGTTATTATTATTATATGAGTTGTTGTTATTATTATAGGAGTTGAGGAAGCACAACGTGTGCACGGTGGTGCGCGTATGCGAGCCGAGCTACGACACGGCGCCGCTGAAGGCCGAGAACATCGAGGTGCGCGACCTCGCCTACGACGACGGGACCTTCCCGCCAGCCAACGTCGTAGACGACTGGTTCGAGATCCTCAGAGATAAGTGCGTATAAATATCTGCGTAATACTAATCAAGCGCCTTCTCAATCTAGACCCCGCGATTGAGCATCAACTTTATTTCCGTATGTGTTGATACATCGCATCTTTAGAATTATACAGACCCACTTCGAAAATTTTGGATTTCGACTTTAATTAAAAAATGGGCTTTTTTTTATAGCTTTGATGGGTGGACAAGCTCACAGCCTACCTGGTGATAACTGGTAATCGGTACAGACATCTACAACGTAAATGTCGCCACCCATATTGAAATAATAATATGTTCTAAGGTCTCAGTATAGTTACAACGGCTGCCTATAATCAAATGTCCTAAATTAGCTTACAAATTACAAACTTATCCAACGGTTTCTTTCACTCCGTCCCCTTCCTCTACTTCCTTTCGGTTTGAAAACTTTGTTTGATGTTTTCCAAAAAAACGCTTTTTTTTTACTTGGTCTCTATAATTCTAAAGGTACGACATGTAAGTTAAGTACATGTTGCTCCGATGGATTATAGATACGTCTATAATAGATATCAACTAACGCAGGCGGATCATTTACACGCGGTAATCTAACCTCAAACTAGGATCTCCTGTACTAGGAACCAGAGACTGATCGATATACTTATATACGTTTAAATATAGATGTATATATATTCAACACTCATGACAAAGGGCAAACAAACCTGATCATCCCTAGATCGTTTGCATGAATATGAGAATCGAACCCCAAAACCGCTATCAGAGGTGCATTGATTAGAAATGAGAAAACTTTTTATTTCCTACTAAATTGAAGGAAACTTAAAAATTCTACTCGCAATCTAGTGTGTTCTGTGCAATATACTATTTTCTTAAACTTATACTATATTCTTCTTTTTCTCTGATAAATTTATTATATTTTTATGTTGTTCATAATATATGATTATGTATGTATGTGAATATATGAGTATATGATAGTGATTTTTATATTATAATCATGATATTATATTGCGTATGTTGTTGTATGTGATGACATATATGTATACCGTGTATGTGTGTACATAGGTATGTAATATTATTATCAATTTTGTTATTTTCGCAGTAAGTAATGCACCTACCACAGGACTCTAACACTGCCCTTAGGTTGACTGGTAGAGAATGACTCGGCCATTAAGTCCGCCATTGTACCTTTGTGCATGAAGTTGAATAAATCTATATTAATATGTATATAAATCTACAGTGATTTTTACGGATGTTCCGTTATAACTACTGAACCATGCATCCGATTGACTTGTAACTTGGTATCCATGTAGAAAATACATGTACTTAATGGATAGATATATGAGTGTTGGACTCCCTAATAATAATGTTAATTTAAAATGCCCAGCGAAGCGGGCGAGTACGGCTAGTAAATAAATAAATAAAATATTTTAACAGTCAATAACAGGTATGAATACTAATTACTTCAGCACTAATATCGAAGTTATTGTCCATGTTACAATTATTCCTAAATCCCCTATTTATTCGTAATAGTATGGAGTTACGGAGTCTGTTGTTTGTTGGTCAGGGCGGAGAACAAGCCGGAGTCGGCGGTGGCGGTGCACTGCGTGGCGGGGCTGGGCCGCGCGCCCGTCATGGTCGCCATCGCGCTCATCGAGCTCGGCATGAAGTACGAAGAGGCCGTCGAAACCATCAGGGAGTAAGTTTTTTTTTATTTATTGCTTAGATGAGTGGACTAGCTCACAGCCCACCTGGTGTTAAGTGGTTACTGGAGCCAATGGACATCTACAACGTAAATGCGCCACCCACCTTGAGATATGAGTTCTAAGGTCTCAGTATAGTTCCAACGGCTGCCCCACCCTTCAAACCGAAACGCATTACTGCTTCACGGCCGAAATAGGCGGGATGGTGGTACCTACCCGTGCGGAATCACAAGAGGTCCTACCGCGCAACCTACCACTAATTACGCAAATTATAATTTTGCGAGTTTGATTTTTATTACACGATGTTATTCCTTCATCATGGAAGTCAATCGTGAACATTTGTTAAGTACGTATTTCATTAGAAAAATTGGTACCCGCCTGCGGGATTCGAACATCGTTGCATCGCTAGATACGAATGCACCGAACGTCTTATTCTTTAGGGCACGATGACTTATTGGCTTACTAAGTATCACGAGGAGCATGTCGACATCCAATTACATCCAAATTACATTTATTTATTTATTACAAATATATAATACATAAGGTAACTGTTTTAATCGACCAAAACAGCGATTTAATCTTAAGAATTTTTAGGAAATTTTGCCGGCAACATGGATGTTTCTATTAGTGTTTTCTATAAATAAATCTTCCCTGATATGTGCAGATAATACGGTCTGTGAAACGTAAATAAGTACAAGGACGATATCGTATTAAGATCGCAACCTTGTTCGCGCATGCGTGCACTGACCTTCACTGGTTTATATCACTGACGCGTGGACGACCAGACACAAATAAAACTTAGACGCACTCATCTATATATTAATAAATAAATAAATAAAATAAAATAAAATAAAATTCATTTAATTCAGACCCTCTTTAAGTCCATATGTTGTAAGTTGAATAATACTTAGAACTATGTTAGTAAAATTAAAATAAAAATTAAAATTAGCAATTAAAACATTTAAACATTTCATTCATAAATCTGCGCTGCTTTGAGGCACCTGGTATATGGGTACGTATATGAACCCAGTGTCTCAAAACAGCACATTCGGGTTTATTACCTATAACTATCAGGATATTATTAGTACTCGCACGAACCCCACGCATCAGTGAGGCCGTTCGTTTGCGGATGATTGATGAAAAGTCATCCACGTGAGCATCCGCAAACATACCTGATGCGCTACAGTACCGCGGGAGCCCCAACAACATCCTGAAAGCATTATTATATTGCACTCGGAGAGCATTGTATGCCCGCCGCGCATATCGAACCCACAGGGTACAGGTATATAAGGACTGGCAAAACGCCTTGAACAAGGTTACCTTAACCTGTGCGGTACAACGGTAGAACCTGCGGGCCAGCATACTGCAGCGGACAGCCAACGCTCTCCGTTCCCTTTCAATATCTGCATCATCTTTAAGGTGCTCAGTTACAATATGGCCAAGGTATTTGAACTCAGTAACCCTCTTCAGTGGAGTACCTCCGAGCGTCACTGGTGGCACATAACTCGGTTTTGTCTTTGCTGCCTTAAAGACGAGCAGTTCACTTTTTTTAACATTATAGCGGAGCCCGTGAGATTCCGCGTACCTCTCACAGATGGACAACAACCGCCGGAGAGCACCGATCGATGGGCTCAACAGCACCATGTCGTCAGCGTAACTGATGCTGTTCACACAGTGACCATCAATCGAGCAGCCGACACGTGCCTCACCGAGTGCCTCGATCAACTCATTAATATACAGGTNATTCATAAATCTGCGCTGCTTTGAGGCACCTGGTATATGGGTATGTATATGAACCCAGTGTCTCAAAACAGCACATTCGGGTTTATTACCTATAACTATCAGGATATTATTAGTACTCGCACGAACCCCACGCATCAGTGAGGCCGTTCGTTTGCGGATGATTGATGAAAAGTCATCCACGTGAGCATCCGCAAACATACCTGATGCGCTACAGTACCGCGGGAGCCCCAACAACATCCTGAAAGCATTATTATATTGCACTCGGAGAGCATTGTATGCCCGCCGCGCATATCGAACCCACAGGGTACAGGTATATAAGGACTGGCAAAACGCCTTGAACAAGGTTACCTTAACCTGTGCGGTACAACGGTAGAACCTGCGGGCCAGCATACTGCAGCGGACAGCCAACGCTCTCCGTTCCCTCCAATACGTGAAGCAAAAACTTTGTATCCCTTTTTACGAAAATTGCGCGGACGGAGGAGTATGAAATTTTCCACACTTATAGAGAATATAGAGAAGAAGTGCACAATGCTAATATTTTTTTAAAATAATGCATAAAAGATACATTAAATCAATAAAGAAAACATTACACACACTACATACCATGTATTTAACGCACACACGCATGCATACTATTTATTGTCAAACTTTTGCTCTTGACGTCTGTTGTCAAATTGAGAATAGATTAAATATTGTTTGTCTTTATTAATATTTTTTATAGTGTAGTCTTGGCGAAATTTGTGATTATAGAAGTATAAAATACAATCATAATAGTGTACAAGCTTACAATTCCAATTAATTATAGACGAATTTCGACTAATGCGGGGCCTCTAGTAGTATTATATTGTTCTGGAACAATCTTAACGAGTTTTGAGACTAAGAGAATACAGAAAGGGAATGTTTGTGATTATGACTCCCGATACGTAAATTAATAACATTTTATTTTTACTTGCGTCGTCGGGTTATCTATAATGAGTCAGACTGCCTCATGAAATCGTTGGGCAACAGTTTTAATGATTCAGATGTTAGCTCGCACTCCACTTGAGCGATACATGGAGTGCAAGAGAATATTCCGCGTCAGCGTAAACAAATGTTAAAGTTCGAAAATTAATTATGTCTCTTCATTATAGGCATAATGTAATAATAACAATTCGATGGAAATGTTTACTCTTTTTATGAGTATTTTATTTGCTTATATGTCTGTATCTCTTTATACTATGTAGGTAAAGGATCAACGTAATTTTCGTAAAATTCAAAACGTTAAATTTACTTGCAAAATTTTATTATTATATAAATTACTCTAAAGCAAGAAATAAGTGGAAAATATAGTTATAAAATAAAATCTCGTAAAATCAATAGTAGTCGATCCGATAGACGTTCCATAATAAATTTCAATCAATTTGTTTGCAAAATGTGAAGTTGTTGTCGTTAAGGGTAGGCAGCGGCTCAGCTTTGCCCCTGGGATTGCTGATGTCCATAAGCGACGGTAACCATTCACCATCAGGTGTTCATCTGCCTACAAAACCAAATTAAAAAAAATTGGGAATTTAAGAATTTTTCAATTGTCCATACAAATTTCCTACGTAAACCTATTAATTAATACATTCTCAATTGATAAGTGTTTAATAACGAATAATATTTTTATTTATCTTATAGTATATAAAATTCTCGTGTCACAATGTTAGTTACCATACTCCTCTGAAATGGTTTCAAATTTTATATGCATGTTCTGTAGGTCTGAGAATCGGTTACTATCTACTTTTCATATCCTTATGTGATAAGGGTTGTCCACCCCTAACATTTATTTTTTGGACAATTTTTTTTGTTTGTTATAATGAGGCATTATGTGGTTGAATGAGGTTTTGTTATTTTTATATACCCTCATCGTTCACAGCGCTACATGCCTCATTTGCATTCACTGATTTACCACATCCTTATATACTCACAATAAGTTAGTTTTTTTTTCTACACTAGAAATTCCGTAGAAATCTTATATATGAGTCGTCTATTATCAAAGGTGGCAATCTGTGCATTTGGACAAAAAAATGTTATTGATATGTCAATACAGATTGATTTGAATATAATCGTCTCCTTCAAAGAATACGGTTCAAAACCTGCATTAAATAAAGGTTAATACTTAACCTGTTATTTATCTAAGATGTCGTTCAGAAGAGTTTTGTGACTGCCAATNAAAAAATGTTATTGATATGTCAATACAGATTGATTTGAATATAATCGTCTCCTTCAAAGAATACGGTTCAAAACCTGCATTAAATAAAGGTTAATACTTAACCTGTTATTTATCTAAGATGTCGTTCAGAAGAGTTTTGTGACTGCCAATGGAATACAAAGTCAATAATTCGTTTTTCTGATTTACAAATAATTGTCCAAAAGTCACATTGCCGGCTTTGATAATAGTCGACTCATATGGCCAAACAACATTTGCCAGGTCAGCTGGTATCGTATAAATTACAGTAACACGTTGAATACGAAATTTGTTAAGTAAGACATAAGCGCGTACGGTATTCATGTGTGAACAGTCTTTAACTCCCTACATGTAATGTTCCAGTCAACGTCGAGGCGCCATCAACGCTAAGCAGCTCTCGTACTTGGAGAAGTACCGACCGAAGTCACGTCTCAAGAAGAATGGGCACAAGAACAACTGCTGCGTGCAGTAGTGCCGCCGGCGCCCAGACAGCGAATGTAGCTCTGCTTTCACACACACACTAACACAGGGGAGCATAGACAACAAATCAATTTTTATTATTCCTAGTATGGGAGCATAGACAAGAAATCAATTTTTATTATTCCTAGTATGTCGCTACTTTTTGACGATCATATTTTTTATTAAGTTTATCAATAATATTATATTCTGGAAGGTTGTAATTGAATTCCGTCGACTCGAAACTTCGTTATTTACACATTCCCGTTAAGTTTGCTCCATCCGAACGTGACTTTAATTATTGTACTCAGTTCATCAAATGTTTGTAAAAATTTTAAAACCGAATCCTCCTCTGAACTGACTTTTGTATTTTAATGACATATTACCCTTGTGTAGTAGTACTGTGTATCAGTGGAACATTTAATAGAAGCGAGCCACGATTTGTGTTCATAGTTGAAACAGTTTATCGGGTATGTATAACTTTAATCATAATAAAGAAAGAAAGAAAAAAATACAATATATCCATAATAAAATACACAGTCAGTTAATTTGTAGATTGTTTTATTTTTATTTTTCCAGAGTGTGGTGAAATTATGATCTTTTCTCTGTACTGTCCTGTTTTTGTGTACTACTATTAAAATGATTTAATATTGTAATAATTTTGAGACATGATGGACCCGTTGTGTTTCATAATTCGAATTATATAGTTGACGAGTTTCGTTATTGTAATCAATTGTGCTTGTTTTAATTTCACGAATGTAACGGTTGTTATGAGTTTTGCATTATTAATAGCGACCGAATCGCTTTAAAGAACGCGGCTCTTGACTTTATATAACTAATGTGAATTCTAATCAATTTAGAGAATGTTAACCAGTATGTTTACGTACATTTGACTCAATGAAAAGTTCCAATTAATAAAGTAAAATAGCTTTTTGATATTATTTTTCTATTTCTCATTTTATGATGATTGTCAAAGTATATAATAATGATCTTGTAACTACGGAACAGTCACATTCATGAATAAAAATATTTATAAGCAACATTAATGTTTTATTTGTGCCTGGATCAGTGTGAGAATTAAACTGGATTTGTGTTAAAACACATTCGCTCTCGATCGTAGCTAACTAGAGTATTGTTCGCAAACGAACACAAATCAATGCTGCTCGTCGTGTTCTTCGGTTCATCCCTTCCTTACATTTTACGACACTCAGGCGAGAAGAGATCTAGTGATGTTATTCCGGACCGATAATAAAACCAGAAACACTTCAGTTTTCGCAAGTTTTATTCACATCTCCTAAGAGGTATAGTAGACCTTTTATATATACTCGGCATAGCAGAAAAATCACGTCTAAACCAGAAAAAAACAAGTTTTTGTACGTATATTATGTTAAGACAACTTACTTATGGCATAGACAGAACTCATTTACACTTCCGTATTAACACTTCCCATAACCTTGACATTGATTTTTTTAGTAGTGGTTATTCATCGAACAATAACATAATATTATTTTTATCGTCCTAGTTTAATGCCGTGGGTTGCAAGACATTACTGTGGACGTTTAATTGCTATGCTACGCTTTTTCTCTGTAAAGTCAACTTTTTTGTCGTTCTGTAAGCTTAATCATTACACTTTATGGTACTGTCAACTGATCTTGGATTTTAGATTGTATTGATATTGTAGGATAGAATAACAGGATAAATAGGAAATTTAAATTTATTATATAATTTGTGAGCCTGGTATAGGTTAGCATCATCGCTGCTTGTTATTTTGGTTCGGTTTGAAAGTAATAAAATACTTGATCTTCGACTTGAATTGAGACTCCGTCCTTATGGTTTACTAAGGCTACATTCACAAGATACGATGTTCACAAGCAAATTCGTAGTATACCGCCACTACTCTGCCAGGATGAAACTTGTTTGTCTAGCTGCACCTCTCGCCGGCCCCATCACCCCCGCACAGTTTCTATCCGGTAAAATTGTACGGTAACATAGACGGATACGTATTCCGTTCATCCAGCATTCGATCACAAAACGGAATGTCATAATTTACCGGATCGTTTTTTTTTACTGTATACTGAATACTGTACTACATGTGAAGTCGCTCATACAACTCCATGCTCCATCGATGAAAAAAAACGTATCCGACAAAACGGAGACCATGTGTGAACGGGCTGTAAGGTAGACAGCATCGAACATGCAGCTTCAAANTCTAGCTGCACCTCTCGCCGGCCCCATCACCCCCGCACAGTTTCTATCCGGTAAAATTGTACGGTAACATAGACGGATACGTATTCCGTTCATCCAGCATTCGATCACAAAACGGAATGTCATAATTTACCGGATCGTTTTTTTTTACTGTATACTGAATACTGTACTACATGTGAAGTCGCTCATACAACTCCATGCTCCATCGATGAAAAAAAACGTATCCGACAAAACGGAGACCATGTGTGAACGGGCTGTAAGGTAGACAGCATCGAACATGCAGCTTCAAACTCCGGTACTGTGATAGTACCGGGTAGGGAGTTAGCTGATCTGCTCATTTCAAATGATTGGGAAAAACAAAACCACGAATGTGTAAGAAAGTTTATTTAAGAAAATGAGGTAGACAAATTTTGTAACAGGTACATTCTGTATGAGACTCATAAATACAAATACAGTTAGCGGCAACATTAACCACGCATCTCAGGTGCTCCTATTTTTTAACTATTATATTATATCTTTGTAAATTGTGTTTGTATAGTAGGTATTTTTTTTATAAATTTAATGCATACTCTTTTAATTTTTGGGTTTTAAAATTAGCGTTATATAATAATGCCGATAGTCAGAGTGGGGCCATAGATGGGGTCGCTCGAACTCTTTGGAGCCACCATGACTTCAGAGAAACCGATTCCTACACACGAGGGACTGGTTAAGGCCAACTTGGGTGGACTTTAGTTGGGCATAACCGATTTATCATTACCGTTATAAGAAATAGCTTTAGTACTCCTTGCCGACAATCATGACCAGCCTTATGAAGTAAGAATGAGAAGTTTTTTTTATTGCCCTTGTAAGCAGACGAGCATACGTTCCATCTGATGGTGAGTGGTTACCGTCGCCCATGGATTTTAGTAATGCCAAGCCGCGGCCTACCGTGAAATAATGATAACAAAGTAATCTATACGTCTTCGGACCAGTTCCCAGATCGCTTCCAAACTGCCGCCATATTATATAAAAGCAAAACTTCAATTAGCACATGAACAAGGAATTGAATAATGCTCTGCTCTCAGGTGAAGAATCTCATTAAGGCCAGATGGACGCCAGCGAGTATGAACGCGTTAACAAGAGGTTTGCGTCACGTGGCAATCAAAGGATTAAGTTGTGTCCGGATCAAAGTACGAAGTTTAAACATAATAATATTTTTCGATTAAGCTTAAAACTTATGCAATAAATATACAAAATTAATTAACTGTAACAAACATTTTAAATAATTAAATAATCAGTTTAGACCGTGAAAATAACTAAAAGTTAAATTTCCCTGAAATAAAGTTTCCTGTGAAAATCAGATCTGCAACTAAAATCTAGGAGATGTTTGAAGGACATGGTAGCGAAAAATTGAAAAAAAAATTATACAAAATGTATTGTTTCATTATACACAGAGACGCGGGATATACCTTTTCCATCGTATATTATATACTTATTATATATACTGTCAATTGGCTATTGACCTTCAGTTAATGACAATAGAGCAAATATTTTATATCGTACGATTTTTTCTATTTGTTGTTGCTTTTTTTCCTAAATTATTTGCAGAATTAGGAACCATTTAAGATAGCGAAAGACACGGTCAGTCATTCGAGTTGAACGCAACTCTTAAGCCATCTTTAAAATATTATTTGTTCTTTTTTAAAACTAGTTTCGTGGCTATGATTACATGAAACTATCTATTTAATGGAATTTATTTAGATCATTGATACATAAATAAATAACGAGTAACGCGCGCTCTTACAATCAAACAAAATTGTATTTTTTTTTTTAGAATTTTTAAATATTTTTTTTTAATTCTTGGGTGAGTAAAATTATTAAAATTACTTAATATAGCATTGCTCAATTCTGAGCAACTTTTAAGTTAAAAATCACATTAATTGAATATATTATAATAGATTCAAAAATTTGTACTGAACAGATAAGAAAGCGTTTAAATAAAAACGTGTCCAAATACCCTACTTTTTAGGTATATATTTGTGTACCTTCCCTCCGTACCTGGCAATGAAGGCTTTGATGTCGAACTTACGCTTACACCCGTCGTAATTCATGTATCTTATTTTACCGAAGACGGCGCGTTCTGCCCAGCCTTGGTCGTGGATGCCGCATATCGACCACATGCAGCCTGAGAATAAACACAAATAACTCAAACTAAATTATAGATTGTCCTCGTTTCGCCATCATAACATTATCGAAGCTGTTATAGAGCGCGCGTCACGTAAAAAGAACGCTGGAAGAAAGTGGAGGGGGTGTGTTTGCGCATGGATACACTCGCGCACGAAAATACAAGTACTTTTGTTTTATTTTTGAAGTAATCGTTCGCTCGCGGCTTCGTATATTGGTTATAGGTATTACAGTTTAGTAGTTCTGTACTCTTGTAGCTGTATGCAGCATGTTACAGGAGAGCGTAGAAAGATATCATAAGTTTGAAGTTAAAGTAGTTTATGAAAGTTAAAGTTTAGGTAAAGTTATAAAGATGATAATTTCTCTTGATGTGAATTGTACGATAGTTAGTGATGCACTCTCTTGACTGTAATTAAATTCATATTATATTATTTGTTGTCACGCGGCAAAAAGTGGATCGCGTCGCGAGTAAGCATGACGTTCTGGTACTGTTGGTGGTCGGCATTCCTTATCTATAATAAAATTGTACGGTGGTAAGATCGTACATGGTAGGTACATTAAAAATAATATTATATTAGATCGAATTTTATGAAATAGAATTAAAAACATGTTTAATTTCTGCGTATAATGTTTAATCTGAATACGAACAGACAGACAGACGGACGGACGGACAACAGTGATCAAAGGGTTCCGTTTTTTTCTTATTGAGGTACGGAACCCTAAAAATTAAATTAGACTCGGAACATTTTGTTACCACTGCGGTCCGTTTCATGCATTATTTCAAATTATCAACTGCATTATTATCAGCCTCTTTCTTCATAAAACAATATACGTCATAAATCATTTTTCTCACTTTTCTATGTAAAACCATTTTGTAATTAAAACTTATGTGCGCGATAGTATTTTGAGAACGAACGTAACGTGAACCCAGCGCGGAAAGCAAAGGTCGACTGACGAACCAATAGCACACCGGCAAGCATGCGGCAGGGGACCCGCCCGCCCCGCGCCGCACCTCATACCACCAAATATATCGATAAATAGCCTAGTGCGCAGCTTGACCGCCAGCGTTCTTTTTAAGTGACGCGTCCTCTACCACAATCTGAAGTCTGAATACGGGCATGAACATTCATATTGTTCTTCATGTCTATGGGTCGGAGTAGTCTTGGACACAAGATGTGCCATCACTGTTGAATTTAATCCTTTGACTACTGTGAAGGTCACCAGTGCTCTACGTGACGCACTGAAGTAATCATGTCGATTTTTGTTGTTAAGCGCCTAGATTACCGAACATTGCCTTATTTTAGTTTTTAATGTATGTTTTAGTCTGTTAGAGTCTCTTCGAAATAGATAATTTATCAGTAGCTTCTTATACGTCTTTCTTAGAGTCTACTAGACATTCAGGCGCTTTAGTAACGAAAATCGTAATTACTTTAGTGCGGCGCGTAGGGCACCGGTGACATAAACGGCAGTCAACGTGTTAAGTACGTAAATGTTTTTAATTATTTACAAAATTATAAAAGTTATGTAGCAAAAACTGAAATGCGTACATTTCATATAAAGGAACCCCTTTAAAAAAATAAAAAGCAGGAGCAATATAATTGGATAAAAATATACACAGTCCTCAGGAACTTAACATAATATAGTAATGTTGCCTCAAATCAATTTTACTAGAGTATTAATGCTGAAAAAGCGATTGACTTGAATTGACATACCTACAAATCCACTTGGATCTCTCCCATCGATACTATAGTGGTCGTTCAAATATATTCCATATTTAAGAGCATCCTCCGGAGTAGGAGTCCATTCCAATATTTTCTTACACCAATACATTCTTAAAAAGCCATGCATTTTGCCTTCTTTAACAAGTTGTAGCTGAGCTGAATTCCATAAGTCATCATGAGTTTCACCTTTAGAAAGTTTTTCTAGAGTATAAATGTGAGTTCTCTTGTCTTTTCTGTAATTAACAAAGTAAAAGTGTAAGGATTATTGTCAGCAGAAATTACTTTTATTCATACAGTTTTATACCATTGGTCTGACGTTTTTTTAGTTAGCGTGGTATGGACATGTAATGCATAGAGAGAATATGTATGCGACTAGAAGATGTATGGAAATGGTAGTGCAAGGTAGAGGGGGAAGAGGTCGACCGAAGAAGACATGGATGTAGTGTGTGAATGATGATATGAGAGAGAGAGGAGTGAGTGTTGAGATGACGGCTGATAGAAGAGAATGGAAGAGAAAAATTAGCTAAGCCAACCCCACCTAGTGGGATAAGATGGAGAAAAAGAAAAAAGGTCTGACGCTTTTTTTTATGGCATAGGTGGGTGGACGAACTCAGAGTTAAGTGGTTACCGGAGCCGGGACGAATGGCGGAGTTTATTGTCGGAGGCCAAGTCTTGGCCCAAGACCCACTCCAAGGTCATAGCGTCAGCGCAGTAGCAGTAGTATACAATTCTATACAGTATTCAGTCCAGCTGGAGTTAACACTGTCAGGCTCAGGCTTAAATAAAATGTGTTTTTTTTTTCTATATTCATTATTTAAGTCTAGGGGATTGGTATGCGAAAGGCTAGAGACCGAAAATAATGGGGTACATTTGGAGAGACCTACACTCAACATTGGACTAACACGGGTTGAAGAAGAAATATAACAAACCTGTGATCATCCAAAGTTTTTTGGGCCCACGCACTAGCACCCTTTACACTGTCGTAATGTTCACAATAGAAACAAAAGTTGTCAGCTAGTTCTCGCCTGACTATAGCTTCTTCCAGAAATGCATTCACACTTTCAGTAAATTTTGATTTGTATTCTTGTACACATAAGGCTACCCTTTGTACTGATATTTGACCTGGAAAGAGAAAAAATGTATTTTTATCACAATCCTAGTAACTATAACTAGCCACTACAATCTAGCCTCTGTCGTGATGGCATTTTCCTCCTGTAGTTGTGCTTCTCACGTCTGAGGGTCGTGACCACCTCCATCCACGACCGTAGTCTGCATAAAGTTGTGCCTTCTCATCTTGTCTTTAGCTAATTTGACACCATTGTAGAGAACGGAATCAAGTTTGGTGCGGATGAGTGGTATGTGATGCATAAATAAATTGACTTGGTAAAAATGCTAGCATCTTTACTCTGATCAATAATAGTAGGTACTTTGACAAAAACCTCTCTGGTGTGCCAAAAACACTACAAAGTTTTTTTATCAACCATTTACATCAATTGTGGATACATATATTACAGACACTGTTGTTGTTGTAGTCCTCAGCTACTCAGCTGGTACATTGAGCTCTCACAAGTTGTCTCCACTTCACTTCTGACAGACATATACGAAATATTAATTTTGTCCAAAAAAAAAGAATAGCCATTATAGGAGAAATAGGAAGTCAACATATATACAAATAATTGAAAATTTAAATAAAATAATCTTTATTGTGTTACATACATACCAAAGTGGAACCAAGGTGAGAGATTGCTCAAGGCATCCTGAGTTGGGTCATTCCTTTTACTGGCATATATGTTTAATCTCTTGTCAAGAAAACTTTTCATCATTTTCACAGCTTCATCATAACCAGGCTTAGCCCAATCAACAGGACCAACTGATTTATCTGCTTCTCTCGTCTCAATGGCTTCATGCCAGTCAATGGGCTGTCAATTCAGGAAAAAACTATAAACAGATTTAACATATTGCTTGCAATTTGTACTGTTAGATGTTTTTCATACTCACAAAATCTCACTTAGTAAGTTGGTTTCAATTACAGATAGTTTTAGACAAACACTATGTTGGGATTGCAATAAAACCTTTTTAATTAACACAGTTAACTTTTTTAGCAAAATAATTTTAAATTTTTAATAAATTAGTATGTAATTGAATATATTTTCAATAAAGAATTAACATATTGGATATACATTTTACCTCTGCTTCAAATTTGCTGGAATATGGATGTTTTATAACTGGGGGGAATTCGGTGAGAAACTCATCAAGTTTTGAATTAATTTTATTCCTGATAGTCCTTGCAGAATACTCCTGTTTGTCTGATGCCACCCAACATGGAACTACATTGTGAGTATCAACCTGTTTCAAAAAAAGTATAATTGTGGTTAAAAATAACTGACAATAATTTACTTTTCTGGAAAATTTTTGATAGCATTTATTTATTATACATTTATAATAACATTTATTTATTCTATTATAAAAAAGCACCAAAATCTTCTTAATTTTGTTATTAAGTAGGTGTTCCATTTGAACTGTTTTCATAGCTTTAGATTGGTATGCAGCTAGATTATCACCATTTATCTGATAGAGGTGGCTTTTAGGTATAAACAGTCTTTTGAACCNTCTGGAAAATTTTTGATAGCATTTATTTATTATACATTTATAATAACATTTATTTATTCTATTATAAAAAAGCACCAAAATCTTCTTAATTTTGTTATTAAGTAGGTGTTCCATTTGAACTGTTTTCATAGCTTTAGATTGGTATGCAGCTAGATTATCACCATTTATCTGATAGAGGTGGCTTTTAGGTATAAACAGTCTTTTGAACCTCCTCCATTTCTCTTTCTTTCATAGCTTTTTTTATCTCATTTTCTGCATAAAGAAGTCTATGTCAATAAATAATAAAACAGCTCACCTCATCATATTCTTGGGTCCAACCAATAATAAATTAATCTATCAATCTTTTTAATAAGTAATACATTTTTGTTACACGCAATATAGATATAAGTGTAGTAATTTATGTAGGTAATTCTAATAAAAAGAATGCTTGAAGATTTGTCACCTGAATTAAAGGCACATCTTTCCTAAGTTTTCCCTTTACTCCATCCAACCAGCCCATAGGGACCCTAAGTGGATTGAAATCACACACAACCACACCAATATTATGATCTACTACCCATTGAGGTAACACTTCGGCACCACTACCTTCTAATAAATGGAATTGTATGTTTAGTTTCTTACACTCTGCAGCTACTTTTTCTAGTCCTGGAAATTAATATAATTATTTACACTACACTACACTATATATATAACTTGTAATATTTAATTACAATAGATAAATATTGTTAAGAATGTTTTGTTAATAAATTAATATAGATTTACCTCTTACAAGGAAATGAAATTGTCGCAAGGACGCATCCAGATACTTCGAAATTAAACAAAAACATACATGAAGCGGTACTTCGTTTTTCAAGGCCAGTTTTTGTGCAAAAAGGAAAGCCCAATTATCCTGAACACGGCTGTCTCTAGACATCCAGTATACAACACCATCGCAATCGTCAGGTATAATTTGTTCTTGAGATATTATTCGAATGCGTTTTTTGTTGAAATCAAAGTTCAAAATAGACTCAGCCGTTTCTTCGCGCTTTTTTTGTAGTTTTTTCAGAAACTCTTCAATGGTGCTTGTACTTTCATTGCTTTTACCTAATGCCATAGGAATGGAAGTTTTGCGTTTCTTTGAAGCCGATGCCATTTTGAATACAGAATAGCGTTTTAAAACCGTATTAAATTGATTTACAAGTGGAATTTGAAGCATTTAATTTCAAACTTACAATACAATTTACAACAATCATAGATTAGTTATTAGGTGCATGTTGAAAGTAAATTGCTTCTTAAATATTAAGTGTAATCTATGGTGAATCTCATAGTTATTACCCATAAGGGAGACTTTTTGGCGGGAACGCGAGGAGTGAAGTTGTGTGATTTGTTTTATTTTGTCTATTTAGTGTTTCTTCGGGTTTAAATGTGTAATAATGGCGGTTTATTAACTTTTTAATATTTGTGAGAGTGCACAAATGTGGGAAAATGAAACAAAGCTGCTGGACGTAACTTCTCGGGATCCTCCAAAAAGTCCACTGAAAAAATCTTAGTAAATGACCACTATTTTACTGAGATTATATTTCGTCCCATTTTATTTCATTTAATTTCATCGCAGTTGATTAATGTTTCAAATTAATCATCTTCATTTAATTTTCATTTCACTCCATAATATCATTTTTCATAAAAATATGAATATAAATTAAAATAAGACATGACTTAAAGGTCTCAGTTACCAGGTCATAAAATCCCTTAAAAAAATACCCTTAAGGACTTTTTGGCGGGAACGCGAGGAGTGAAGTTGTGCGATTTGTTTTGTCTATTTGGTGTTTCTTCAGGCTTAAATGTGTAATAACGGTGGTTTATTTAACAGTTTAATATCTGTGAAAGTGCACAAATGTGGGAAAATGAAACAAAGCCGCTGGACGTAACTTCTCGGGATCCTCCAAAAAGACCATTGAAAAAATCTCAGTAAATGACCAACATTTTACTAAGAATATATTCCATCCCATATCATCTCATCTCGTTTCATTTCATCCCGGTTAATTAATGTGTCAAATTAATCATCTTCATTTCATTTAATTTCACTCCATACTATCATTTTTCATAAAAATAAAATATAAATTAAAATAAGACATGACATAAAGGTCTTAGTTACCAGGTCATAAAATCCCTTAAAAAATAAAAAGTACAAGTTACAAGCTACAAAGATACAAGCTAAATGTAGCTGCGCCACTTTGAGAAGGCGGCACGAGATGAGGACCCTCTTGTCGTGGCCGCTGGAAATTATATACCCGATCCTGTAGACCGAATGGTAAATGGTCGACGTCGCCCAAATACGTCATTACGGCTCCTCCCGATCCATTAACGGTGCTTTTAGGTACCACAAGCACCGGTTACCGTCTTCGTCGAACCCGTCGCTTGCGACGAAAGGCTCGAGCCGTGCTTCGCAGAATCTACCACCGGATCGGAAACGCGACCCACTGAGAAGATCCGGCGAGAAACTCAGTGGGCTGTGTCTGAGAGTTAATTTACTCGTCGAGCCCTTCGTCGCAAGCGACGGGTTCGACGAGAACGGTGACCGGTGCTTGAAGTACCTAAAAGCACCGTTAGTGGATCGGGAGGATCCGAGATGACGTGTTTTGGGCGACGTCGACTGCTTTCCATTCTGTCCGCAGNTCCGGCGAGAAACTCAGTGGGCTGTGTCTGAGAGTTAATTTACTCGTCGAGCCCTTCGTCGCAAGCGACGGGTTCGACGAGAACGGTGACCGGTGCTTGAAGTACCTAAAAGCACCGTTAGTGGATCGGGAGGATCCGAGATGACGTGTTTTGGGCGACGTCGACTGCTTTCCATTCTGTCCGCAGGATCGGGAATGTTTATGAACAATGATATGAAGCGAAATAAGATGGAATTGATTATTTTGAGAATATCAATTGTTTAATTTTCCCACATCTGTGCACTTTTACAGATACTGAATGGTTTAATAACCACTGCTTATACACATTTTTACACATTTAAAACTGAAAACCTTTTTTTTTTCGGGCCTGGGGCCGATCCTCCTACGAGGTCCTTGCGCCTAGGAGGCGCGCGGGGTATGTGAGACTCAACGATCTGCAGGTGTTGAGAGCAGATCGCGGGCCCAAGGATTTTAGGGCCCACCCACTAAACGACTCCCCTGCACTCTTACACCCGACGTCCGATCTCCGTCCGGGGTCAGAACCCGGTCAGAGTAGGGGGATTCCCGCGGTCAACACTACAACCAGACACACGGCGCCACCCCGAGAACGCCCGACCGACGGGTCGTCGAGGCGATAGTCGACGACCAAGGACGTCGGTCTCCGCGGTACGGCGGCCCTACCAGGCCGCCCAGGCGATGCCGCTGGTGTTCCGGGATACCCCGCTGGGCCAGAACCAGCCTGCCGGGTCGGAACGCGATACACCACCGACTGGGTTGCTCTTCCACAGTATGTTCGGCGACTACAGCGACGACGAAAATGCGGACCGCATCGCAGTCCGCAGCCGCCGACGTGCGTCCCGTCTTCCTGGTGCAAGCGTGCACACACACACGCAATTCACACAGCTTCGCTCCTCTCGTTTTCGTCGTATTATTTGATTTAAATATTCAATGTTGAGCATAGATATTAAACATAGGTATATTTGTTGAACACCGATGTACAGAAATTCCCAACAATGGTAGTGAATTTTTTTAAACAGGAGAGTCCATGTTATTATACAGACTAATCTATTGTTCTAAAAGACCACCATGCCTGTTTTATTAAAAAATTAAAATGGAACAGATTAATTAAGTTGATTAAACGACAAAAGATGAAATGAAAAGAAATAATGTTTCAATAAAATGGTAAGAATTTACAAAAATTTTGAATCCGTTAAGCTACATCATGCGACTTTCTCACCTTGTACAGAATTTTACCGATCTTAAAGGGGTAGTAAGCTACCATTATATTAGGTACCTACCTCATAAATAGTGATGAAATATTATTTTGTTCTACAACAATATTACTATTTGCCTAAATTTACTTACTATTTTGCACGTCATTTTGAATTGATTAAAGAAAATACCGTAGAAATGTTTAATTTCATCCATTTACTTCTTCAAAATAGCAATACAAGGGTGATAATTAATGCATTCTTCGTTTACTTTGACACAATTTTCGCAACAGAATGAAACAAGTTTACAACATGAACATTCGATTCTTTCAACTTGAAATGGCATTGCACATTCAAAACAGACCTTGAAACATTGATCCTAAAACATTATTGTAAAATTACCTCAATCTGGAGAATAGCGTACCTCAGGCATTTTTGCCTACCAACTGCTAATAATTTCAAGGGGCTTATATATATTAGCTCCACCCGTAGCTCACGGGGCTTGGGAGACTGCTAACATCTGCCCTTACGCCTAGAATTTCCTTACACACTTAAAATTGTTATTGATGAACAGTAATGAATTGTTTTGACTTTATTAGTGCTGTTGAGTGCTTATCAAAGGATTTTTTCATCATCTACGAAACTACGTCCATCTGCTTAAAGGAGATGTTCGTGTCACCCTTGACAGCTCCTCAAGGCCCCCGTGAAATAGAGAAGAAACCTAGCTAAAAAAAAACTAACTGCATCTTTCTTCAGCTCAAATGCAACATAAGACAACGTGGAATCTGACATCACTTTACTAAGTTCTTGTTCATGTAGAATTCCTTTAACTTGTTTTTCTACGCTGTCTTTTAATTCCGCCGTAATTTTTGTTAACGATTTTCCAAATGGCGTAACATTATAAAATTCAACAATGCACAAAAGGTTTTTTAAAATATTCTTCCCATTTACAAATTTCTGACTACTTCTTAAAAGGTTCCATATCTCCAAACATCTTCGTGTTGTTACCGATAATTTCATTTGTTTCCAATTTTTATGTTCCTTAATGATCATGCTCCAGTGTCGGTGTTTATATCTAAAGGGGAAGATTAAATTGTTGTACAATAATCAGCAATTGTATTTTACTCTAAGCGGGCACTATGTTTGCCCATGCTTTAGCATGAGCATGAAAAAAAGGAAAGCATGAGCAGTTTTTGTTATAGAAAAAGGCTCACAAATATATATTTTTTTTGTCAGGAGGAAGTCGCCGGACTTCCGCCCTCCACTGGGAATGGGGGGCGGAGCATGTCGGAGTCGAACTGAATAAAACCTCCTGTCGCTCAACAACCCACGTCTGAACCTCGCATGAGTCAGAATTCATGAAAAGGCAAAGGGGGGAAAGTGAAGTGTTTAGTACGGAGTATATCTCTCCCATCACTCTTCCCCTCGGGACGCCGAACTGGCAGTCATCGGCGCCGCGACCACCAGTCCTCTTGGTTGGCAGGCTATCCGAAGCCCGCCTAGATGGCGCTGGTTAGAATGGGTTATCCTACGGAATACCCCACTGGATTAGAACCAGCGTGGGTCGAGGATAGCCGGCCTTCCATCACCCGGATGCTCATGCGTAAAACACGTGCAGAGCAGCTTGCACGTCGTCTTCTAGGCCCCCTCGCCGGTCCCCAGACCGACATGTAAGGGGGACCCGAAACGCTTAGAGGGCCAGGGCTTGGACGAGATCCACCTCCCTGGCTCCCGTTCGACGGCGGCGGGCTTGTGCGTCTCTCACGCGCCCAGCCGCCTCCGTCTGCGAGATGGTGCACTCGCAGAAGTCGAAATGTCTAGACTACAGCGTAACTGCAAAACATTTTTGTTCCTCGAAATGAAAAATAATTAACCAAACACCGTCTTTGTTTGGGTCACGAATGCTATATATACCTTTGGACTATGTCTGACAATTCCTTAACCAGTTTTATCTGTATCCACGTGATATGTAAATATTTGGCGTATTCCTTAACCAACTGTAGTGCTTGTTTGTAATCTTCAACTTCGTCAGAGGTTAATTTTCCTAAAGATTTACTAGCTAGCTTGTCCTCTTTCTTGGGTTTATCAGCTTTCTTCGTTTTTGTATCTATATATAAATAATAATTTATGAGACATTCATAGAGGTCAACGTTATATGGGTTATTATGGTTCTAAAGTACAGTTAGTACACACCGTGCTGTTTCGGCTGCGATTCAAAATTTTCCATTATTTTATTTGCAAAAACAAATAAATTCTGATATTTTTCAGAGCCATTGTAACATTCCAGCAATGGATTCGCGCCTCGTTGCATTAAATTCGTTAACTGAAAGGAGTGCTTAAATGAAATAGATTCAACAGATGCATGATTATTTTTAATTTTATAAGAAAGAGTTGACGCCCGAATATTTTTATAAAGAAAGTTAAAACACACCTTTTCAGTTTTGTTAATGGCCTAATAACGTAAAAATAAGGTATTTGTAATTCGCAATGTTACAACGGTCACCACGATTTTAAGATGATCGATAATAATTACAACACTTACGATCTGTAATCTATCCGTCAATGATAAAGTATTACAAAAATTTGCGACAAACAACTTCACTAGAACATTTTGATTGCTATTATTAATAACAGTATTAAGGTTGGTCTTCGGGGATTTTACAAATATATCAAAAATATCCAAACTCTTTGAAAGGGCAATGTCCATAGGTGACCTCCCTTTGAACTGAATGGTTGGATCACAGTCATGCTCTAGAAGGAGCGCTATAATATGACCACGTATCTGTAAAATAACTTCATTAAACATCTTGATTTTACTAAAATTATTTTCATGTTTGTTTGGCTTAAATCTTTTGTCTAACCTCTTCCTCAATATCACTTTCTGTGGTCTTTGAAAGAACAACGTGTAACAATGTCGGTCCATTATTATCGTATTCTGGATACTCCATACTTTGCAGTAAATGGTTTGCCTTTCCGCCGGCTTTCATAATGGTACGAATCATTTCTAAATTCACAAATGTAAATGGAAGTGAAATTGCCAAGTCTAAGGCGGTGTAATTTCTAAACTGAAAATTTTATTGAGCGTGCGTATTAACTTTGTATTTTATAACAAATCAGAATCTCTACATAAATATGTGTTATTTACATTGGAATAGTTCATATTTATATCAGCTCCTCGGCTTACAAGCTCAGAAATTATTTCCGGACAACTAGCGAGTATCGCCATTACCAGGGATGGCTGGGGACAGTTCACTAAGCAAGGATCCGCACCATTATCACATAACTGGAGTATAGTAAGCTTAATTCTATCTAAACTGAAAACAACCGAAGACATTATTTAAAGTTAAAAAAAGGTTAAAGGAACATAATATAATTTCCATTCTCGAAAAAATAACATTTAATCCATAATTACGTCTCCTTTTTAGCTTTATCCGCGCTAGTGATAGATGAAGAATCTTCAACTATTTGCGGAAACAATTCTTTACTTAATTTCGTTTTGACTTTATATTCCTTAGATAATGCTTTCTTTGGATTTTTCTCTGTCGCTTTTTTATGATCTTCATCGTTTTCAATTACTTCTTTGACCATATCATGCACTTCGAAAAGATAGGATGGAATATTGTTGGTTGTTTGTTGGAATAAATCATCTATCTTCATTATAAATTCACTGTTTATACTGGTATAAAGTCTTTCGCTATCAGAAAATGACTCAAAAGAGTTAGTGTCGGAGTTTATTTCTTTTTCAAACAATAATTCTTGTTTCCTTTTCGGTGCGTCCTTTAGTGAAATAGAAGACTTAAGCTTTTTCGTGTTTGGTGCTTTGACTTTACTTGGAGATCTTGTAAAAGGTCGACCAGGGCTGAGAGCAGGTGTCTCTCTCACAATATTCCATTCAGACACATTTTCTATTTTATCTGTACCTAAATTTAGTGCGATATCAATTTCAATGTTAATTCTATTGCGAGATTTTAAAAAATTACATTGACGAAAACTAACACGACTGTTGAGTAGAAGTTGGTGGTAATAAAGACTGAACTATTGTGGATATGGGTATATCATTTTGGACATATAGCAGTTTCATCAAAGCTAAACCAAGCGGCGTACAACATGAGTCATTATAACAATTTATGTCAGCGCCAGCCTCCACCAAAAATTGGATTATCTCAACTTGTTCACCGGCCTAAAAATATTTAATACTTATAAAAGACAAACATTTAAGCACTTTATGTAATAAGTGGGTAAGGAAATCTTCATACAACTCTTAATAATATATGTTACAATCATTCAACACCTAAAACGTACGTAACCAAAACTTGTGAACTTTGGCAAAAAAGCGAGTGCATTATAGCTATTTTAAAAAATTACACAAATATTGAAGTTCCAAATTCATTATTCTCAAGTAACGGCCTGGCCACGGGGATCGGCGGTGCGAACAGCGAAGCGGTGGACGAGGCGACCATTCGCGCAGCACCGTTTGCAGGCCACGGGTACTCACGTTCGCCGCCGCGACTAGTAAGGAAGTCCGACAGCGAAATGTCTATATCGAAATTATCTCGATATTGCTTACAAATTAATAGTTTTTTGGTTCAGGACCTATTATTTGGAAAAGATTGTGAAGTACATGATTTGAATAAGAATCGGAGTATACCTATAGATGGAGAATTCCACAAGAAGTACGAGAAATACTTTGGGTGGCTAGACTTCCAAATAGCTGGTCTAGCTAGTATTTCAGCTATATATTTTTTTTATTGCTTAGATGGGTGGATGAGCTTACAGTCCACCTTGTGTTAAGTGGTTACTGAAGCCCATAGACATCCACAACGTAAATGCGCCACCCACCTTGAGATATAAGTTCTAAGGTCTCAAGTATAGTTACAATGGCTGCCCCACCCTTCAAACCGAAACGCATTACTACTTCACGGGCAGAAACAGGCAGGGTGGTGGTACCCACCCGCGCGGACTCGCAAGAGGTCCTACCCCCAGTAATTACGCAAATTATAATTTTGAGGGTTTCATTTTTATTACACGACTAGCGACCCGCCCTCGCTTCGCTTCGGAAACATTAAAACACACATGAAACCAAAAAATAAAATAAAAAATAAATAAAAAAAGTAGCCTATGTTCATCAGGGACAATGTCGGCTTATAATGGAAAAAGAATTTTTCAAATCGGTCCAGTAGTTTCGGAGCCTATTCGAAACAAAGAAACAAACAAATCTTTCCTCTTTATAATATTAGTATAGATGTTATTCCTTCACCGTGGAAATCAATCGTGAACATTAAAATTTGTTGAGTACGTATTTCATTACAAAAATTGGTACCCGCCTGATATTCGACTACCGGTGCATCGCTCAACACCGGATGTCTTATCCGTTCGGCCACGACGAGTTTCAAAATATAAAAAAAAAAATTAATAAAAAATATAAAATATAAAAATTTCGGCGTTCATTTTTCGCGGCGAAAACAACTAAACTCATTTAATCACTGCACTATTCGCCGCGACTACCGCTCGACTCCGTGGCTTGCGCCGTCCTTATTCGTGCATTTGTTTTGCTCGCCCGCCGCATCGTAGGTCGCCCGCGCGATTCGCTCGGTACATTTCGCCGGTCGCTTCGCCGGTCGCCGGTGCGCGTGGCTTGTTAGGTACATTTCTATGCGCTTGTTTTAGTCGCTAGACGCTTCGCCGTTCGCACCGCGCGAATATTCGTATCGGCGAATGTCCCGTGGCCAGGCTGTAAGGAACTTCTCCCGTGAAGGATACCAAAAATACGAGAAAGTATTCCAAACGTTGTGTAACATGGCAACACTTCAATAAACACCTCGCTTATGATTATCGTAGGTATTTGTTTTTATTTTTTATTAATGACATTTTCATACTTACAGTTGCGTACATAATGGTTGAATTCCCTTGGCAGTCTGCTACATCTGGATGCACGTTGCTCTCCATTATAAGTTGAGCTACTTTGGAAAGGTATCCGAGATAAGAGGCCATCAGAAGCGTCCTTAAATTACCGAAGCTATTTAAACTATACTTCCTACGTGGAACACTTTTACTACTTTTTAAAACTAAATCCCTGACAGTCAGGTCGTAAATTTAATTTAAAATTTTAAGATTACTCTGGTAACTTTTTACGAATATTTTATTATTTACCTAACCTTAATTAACTTTTTTTCTACCTATGTTGATAGCCTTGAGAGGCTATATCAGCGTTAAGCTTATTACGCTTTTTTTCCTACCTATGTTGATAGCCTTGAGAGGCTATTTCTAGCAAGAGCAGTGCTTCGCGGAATCTACCACCGGATCGAAAACGAGACCCACTGAGAAGATCCGGCGAGAAACTCAGTGGGCTGTGTCTATGGGGTTATTACGCAACCAGAGGCCGCAGTAATAATTTATTACTATTATGTATACACGCGGAGAGCTTACAATGCCCTACGCGTTCAATATAATAATGCGTTTAGGATGATGTTGTCACTGCCGCGGTTTTGTAGTGCATCCACAATGTTTGCGACATCTCACACCGATGACCGATTCTTTGCAATAATGCGGAAGAGAAGTGCATCGTTATTGCGTCGAGTTCGCGACAGTGGCAACAGTCTTTTGAGAATCATATCGAGCAAGATCGAGGGACTGCTGATCAATAGCCTTTGCAGTAAGCACTTGGAAGGAGAAAAAATAAAATAAAAAATGTAATGGTATAAAATGTATATAATGATAGTCATGTGTTAGATTTTTTAAGTTCCTACCATAGATTATAAATAATTACTACTAACAAAATGATATGGTTTAAAAAAAAACTTAAATAAAGTATTAATAATAATAATAAAAAATTATCCCATGAATATAAAGGAATCATTCGAAACATTGAAAATATTTAAATTGTAGTACGCGGTAAACGAGTCCATTTGGTAAATCAGTGTCCATGGCACGGCATAAGATTACGACGCAGTTGACAATTTTCAGTCAGCTTCTGAAACTTATGACGCTAATAATACTCTACCTGCAATTTAATTCGTGTATTCCGGGAGATTTAAACAAAAATCTTTGTCCACTTAGTATGCCCGCTATATTTATGTTATAAGTCGATCTTTGATTTTCATGTCTATAACAATGCTTCATAATGTGCAAAATTGTTTTACTATTATTCCAAGCGTAATGGATTTCTAGATTTGGTTCTGCGTCTGTTATCTGTATATACAATTTAATAAAGGTTATGTAAAATGCAAATTTTGTCAAATAAATTATATCAATTAAAAAATGTATTGTAAAATAGAATTATTAGGCTGTTGGTATCGGAGCGCAATTTGTCAGTCATCATTCGAGTAGAAATTTGCCTGATAATAATCATGACACCCGGCATAAGTTTATGGAAAGGTTTTTTGTTTTTCCTTGAGTTATCACACCGATACACCATTCCCCTTGAAAGATATATTATCATATCTACGCTGTACACCCGCGACTCTCTAATGGTATTATGATTGTGTTCGGAAGGTTCGTTGCATGTAATTCTAAGCTACAATCGTTAAGGCCCCCGCTATCGTATTTATGGGCAATTAGCTCACATCCCCGTCCCCAGTTTAGTATTAAAAAACTCGAGCGGAGTCAATCAATATTACCTCATCATTCCATTTGTGTAATTCTTCTAAAGAGTAACAGCCTTCAGTATAGTAATTACGTTCAAACAGTTGAATATTACAAGCAGCACTTTTCACGTTGGTGCAATTTTTAGGATATAATTTATGCCATATTTTTGACGCCAGCAACGGGTCACACCCGGAATCCTTCAATAAGTCTACAGCACTATTTATTTCATCAACCTTCACAAAACGATTAGTCTTAATTATTTAAAAAAAATGCTTCCTTTAAAAAAGTAAAGGATTATGCTGACAATTTTGTTGCCTTTCAAATACTATTAATTAAAAAAAAAACACTAATAACACCAAAACAAAATGTAACGGACAAAGAATCCGACAAAACGGAAATAGAACAGATATTATGACTTAAGTATAATAATATCCATCAATAAGTAATCATGCGTTATACTCATATTTTAATGTACGAGTTATTAAGACATCTTTTCAAAGAGTCAGTCCCGTGTGAAAATTTAAGAAGGAGGAAATATTTCATAATACCAATACATTGTCAATTGTAGATTTAAAAAACTGGACTTAACTGTACTTGGTTTTGGTAGGAGCATAGTGCGATACGATTCAACGAAATCTTTTCCATTAGCGGCCGAGGTCAGGTCTAGGGTGATGCTTGGTGCTTGTGGTCGCCAGGCCAAACGAATCAACTGACTCCCCCGCCACAATCCCACGTTTTCTTGTAAATTAATATGGGATTCAATACCTGGCCCCCAACGCATATTGTTATAATATAATCCCTGTAAAATCGAATACTTAGAACGAAACATAAATTTGCATAAAAGTTGTACGATTTACCACTATACATATTACAATAATTCATGAATTGGCGCGCAATTTAAATCATGAAGAACATTTTTGGCATCGGAACGACCGTAGAGTGTATAATTCAACATTAGTACACTGCAGACGCGTACAATAAACAAAAAATAGCAATCCGACCAATTCCGACATCGCGTTCAGTTCCGATAGTAACGAATTTTTTTTTTCCTCCTTAAGCTGATAGCCTTGAGAGGCTATTTCAGCGTAACCTTAGCTAGTAGGTGAGCTCACGGGGCTCAAACCGGAGTGATGCTAACACTGACTCTAGTAAGAGCAGTGCTTCGCAGAATCTACCACCGGATCGGAAACGCGACCCACTGAGAAGATCCGGCGAGGAACTCAGTGGGCTGTGTCTATGAGTTAATTCGCTCATCGAGCCCTTCGTCGCAAGCGACGGGTTCGTTGAGGACGGTAACCGGTGCTTGTGGTACCTACTTGTAAAAGTACCGTTAATGAATCGGGAGGATCCGTAATGACAGTTGTGACAAACGAACTCAAAGGCTTTATTTAAACCAGTAGCTAGACGTGTTTTTTATTTTGTTATTTTATTTGTTTCGTTAATTTGAAAGTCGAAAAGACAATATTGGGGTAGCCTAGGGCATCACCACATGGAATCTAAATTGAACGATAATTCACATGCATTAAACATTGAAGATTTAAAACTTAATTTAGAAAAAAGCGTATGATAGAACGTAATCGAAACCGTCGTAATATAAATAATAAAACCACTAACACTAAAAACTCTTCCGTCTGCATATGACATAGTGCCGTAACCATGCATTGTATTGGCGTAAAAATATCCTTCGTAGCTAGCAAATATATCATTCGGACCTTGATGCTGCCATTTATATTCGCCCATTCCATGCATTGTATTTTGTACAAACCGGCCTATATAGCATTCAAGAGACTAGAAAGTAATTTTAGATTAGTTTTTTTTATAATATCTTACTAGGAAGACAAAGACGAAAGAAGAAGAAAGAAGTAATGAGGTAAATTTTATAATTTCCCATAGAGTGTAGAATAACATAGATTCATCTAAAGGCTTCGTCAAACACAACGCGTAATTAGCGCGCGTCAGACCGCTACGCTATGGCGCCGAGATGTGATGTACTACAAGTACAACACATCTCGGCGTCATAGCGCGGCGTTAGTTTAGCGCTCTGACGCGCGCTAAGTACGCGTTCTGTTTGACGAAGACTTAAGTTCTGTGATCACGGACAAGGGGAGTTGTGAGCCTGAAATACGCCGACGTATTGGAATGGCTAAAACAGCTATGACGCAGTTGAGCAAAGTTTGGAAAGATCGTAATATTTCCAATAGGACCAAAATTCATCTTGTGCACTCACTGGTCTTTCCAATCGTTCTCTATGGAGAAAGAAGCTGACCGAAAGAGAGTTGATGCTTTTGAAATGTGGTGTTGGCGCCGCCTATTAAGGATTCCATGGACAGCCCACCGCACGAACATCTCGGTCCTACAGCTTAAAATGGAGAACGCTCAACGCCTGTCTAACATCTGTCTGCAACGCATAATGCGCTACTTTGGCCACGTTGCCCGCAGAGGTGTAGACAACTCGGAACGTCTGATAGCCACTGGAAAAGTAGAAGGAAAACGTTCTAGAGGCCGGAGCCTCAAACGTTGGTCCGACCAGATCTCCGAGCAAACCAGCGGACCACTTAGCGCTGCACTATACTAGGCAACTGACCGGAACTGATGGAGGCTGGCAGTCGACAAGCTGAAACGGAGTCACGATCCTCAGCAATGAGGGAGCGATGGAGAAGAAGAAGAAGAAGATGGGCAGTGGAATAAATGATAACAAGAACGCCGCAACGCACATAAGAGACATTGGACTAGATTCTCAATTATATCGATCCACCAGCTGTCGTACCCTACGATCTCTCTGACGCAGCTACTCAAATAATCAAATCCTTGGCACTAAGATAACATTTTGATTGGAAATCAATCTGAATATAATGTTCAAGCTTAAAAGCCTTTGTTTGAAGATACCTTGAAGAAGTATCAAGTGTATACGATGCCTATAGGTACTTTGATAAATCAATGCTACAAGACTGCGACTGTGAATTTTATATAGTACTAACCGTACTCGCTCGCTTGGCTGCGCATTTAAAATTAACATTATTATTTATTGTCATTATTATTAGGGAGTCAAACACTCATATAAATATTAGCCTATCCACTAAGTACATGTGTTTTCTACATATGGATACCAAGTTTCAAGTCAATCGGATGCATTGTTCAGTAGTTATAACGAAACATCCGTAAAAACCACTGTAGATTTATATATTAGTAATAGACATTAGCTAAATCAGATAGTTGTAAAGTTATTGATCTACTTTTTCAAATGTTTTTAAAATGAACTTATCTGCAAAGAGAATAAAGTAAGATAAAGTAAGTAATTGTATTAAGTGTTGCTACTTTCGTTTCTTTAAAACGTTTTACTGATTTAATGATATTATATTATTATGTTATAATGATGAGTATTGTTAAATATATTTAATACTGTACTATTGCACCACTCCAATGATTCTCTCCAAATCCGCTCCTTTGGTGCTTGTCTTTATCTCCAATATAATATTGAACATATGGCCAGCACTTATCTTTAGTCGTAAATACATCGATAAGTGCAGTCAATTTATTGAATGACCCCATAATTAATAAAAATTAAACTAATAGTAAATTTCCGATTGAAGTATTTAAAGGATAACTGGTGAAACGAAATTGAATTTTGACATTGACATTGCTTTTCACAAACTATCGTATTTATACAATTGCAAAGACAATATATTACCGGCTATGACGAGGATTTAATCTAGGTTTCTACATAAATAACCGCGTTTTTTTCAGTAAATGAAGCTAGTTTTTGTAACAACACGACGATATATATGCATTGTTCTATAATTAAATGCTCTATAAGCATTTCATCATCAGCCTATAGCAGTAATCCACTGCTGGACATATGCCTCTCAAATTGCTCGCCACTGAGCACGAACCTCGGCTTCTCTCATCCAGCCCTGCACAGATCATCACTCCACCGAGCCTGATCATCTAAAGCTATTATTATAACAAACAAATAAAAAGAGAAACAATGTGCTTAATGTGTTTTTTTTATTAAAAATATATAAAAAAATAATGCAGCGTGTGTTGGACATTTTGTTCAGCAAAAAAGGCACCTCGTACAACTCGATTTTGTTCTTTCAAAATATGTGTACTCCTGTAAAAAAATTGAAGAATCAAAGTGGAACAGACTTTTGGATAGCCGAAATGCTAAATGATATTCAATATTATTTGATCCTCCTCCTCCTCGCGTCGTTTCCTCACTGCTGAGGGTCGTGACCATTATAATTCGACATGATTTTACTCCTTGTGATGTCCCGCCAGCGCCTCCGATCATTGGCCGCATGAAGGGCGTCGTAGAATGGGATCTCTTGGGGATGGGGATTATTTGATAGGATGTTATTATTGCTAGGATAGTACATATTAAGCTGTGGGTGAAATCTTACAAAGCTTATTAGCTAAAAAGAACTGACGTAAAATTATTTAGTATACATGTTGGTTTGTCTGTGGTCTTCAGTAACCGCTAAATTTCAACTTAGGTCTTTCACCAGGTTAGAGCTCCGTGAGTTCACGTACTCGTTTAGTTAAGCTGGCATAACCTCTCGAGATTACCAGTATAGGTAGGAAAAAAACGTGGATCTAAACCTATCATCAGGATCAAAATTTAAGCTAACCAATAAAAACGTAGCGGCCAGTAGCAATGCTTTATGTTTAGGTTGTACAGCTGTATCAGGGATTTGGAGAGTTGTCGCGAAGCTGACGAGATTACGATCCCAGCCGTGGGCTATCCGTCCCACGATTCTCGAGGAATCGGCAGTCAGAATCTGTAATAGAAATGATTTTTTTAAACAATATTGTAAAACACGGTATTGTAAAATTATCTTTTTTTTTTTACTGGATAGGTAGCCGAGCAGACGGCTCATCTTTAAGTAGTTATCGAAGTCTATAGAGATATTAACGTAGATACTGCCGCATGACTGCTTCGTGGCATAAATAGGCAGGATATCTCCAGCGGAGTATTCCGGAACACAAGTGGTAACGCCTAGGGCGGCCTGACGGGCAGCCGTACCGGATGGCCGCCGTAAAGTCATCGACTAACACCTCGATGACCCGTCAGCTGGGCGTACCAGGAGTGGGGCCGCGAGTCTAGTTATGGTGTTGACCCGCGGAACCCCTTACTCTGCTTAGTTTCTGAGCCCGGCCAGAAATCGGACGTCGGGTGAGAGAGTGCAAGGGGCGCCTGCCCGAAAAAAAAGCCTGCTGATACTGTCTACCCGCACGGGCTACAATAAGCCTTTACCACAAGAACTTACCAGTAATAAAAATAAAAATCAAAAAGCCTTTTATTTCATACCTTTTTTATGAGTTATAAATTGTTATTATTCTATTATTTTTATTTAATTACTTTATTGTTAATTGATTTGTTTTAAATTTAGATTAGCGTGAACCCCTCTGTTTCAGTTACTTTTTTTTCGTACCTAAGCTGACAGCCTTGAGAGGCCATTTCAGCGTAGCCCTAACAAGTAAGGTGAGCTCACGGGGCTCAAACCTGACGACGTTGCNCCTTTTTTATGAGTTATAAATTGTTATTATTCTATTATTTTTATTTAATTACTTTATTGTTAATTGATTTGTTTTAAATTTAGATTAGCGTGAACCCCTCTGTTTCAGTTACTTTTTTTTCGTACCTAAGCTGACAGCCTTGAGAGGCCATTTCAGCGTAGCCCTAACAAGTAAGGTGAGCTCACGGGGCTCAAACCTGACGACGTTGCTAACACTAACCCTAGCAAGAGCAGAGCTTCGCAGAATCTACCACCGGTTCGGAAACGCGATTCACTGAGAAGATCCGGCGAGAAAGTCAGTGGGCTGTGTCTGTGTGTGGGTTAATTTACTCACCGAGCCCTTCGTCGCAAGCGACGGGTTCGACGAGAACGATGATCGGTACTTGAGGTACCTAGAAAAACCGCTAGTGGATCGGGAATATCCGAAATGACGGGTTTTGGGCGACATCGACTGTTTACCATTCGGTTCGCAGGATCAGCAACGTTTGGTTACCAGTAATAACGCTTCATAACGGTTATAGTCACATCGCTTGATACGAGTATTATTCATAAGTCTACGGCAATGTCCAATATACATATAATTAGTATTTTGCAAGATAATACGATCTATTTCTGGAGAAGTTAAAATAATGACTCATCAGTTAATATGTAAAGCTTATAGAAAATATATGTACATATGTAGTGCAATGGATTGTAACCTTTATCGTATCGTAGATAAAATTGTGGAATGTGAAAGATGATGTAAAGATTGCGTTTGTTAGTAACCTATATATTTCATGTGAGAAAATTTTGTGAATTTCTTGACACAATTATTAACTGAATGTGATTTTGTACTGAATCTTTTAATTAAATATTCACCAGATACTTTGAAAATAAATAATGCGTTTTATTGAATTGAATGTTATTTGAATTTTTGTTAGAAGCCATGATTTTCGGGTAGGTTGGGCGGTTGAGAGATGCTCCATGCTCAATGCATAGATTTGTGGCTTTCTGTACAAAATAATATGTATTATATTAATACCAATATTAATTAGTATACTGTAAATCTGGCGCGGATTATTTCCCAACTAAATATAACCTAATCCATAATTAAACCATAACCACCATAATTAAACAAATTTAATCAAGTTTTAGTTTCTAATAAGTGTAGATATTAAATATTGTGATGCTGAGTGACTAAGTATTATTCTGTGTTTCATATTTCTTGAAATTACTCATTGTATTTTTACTTTTCTAATTTCATGTTGTTGTCAACTATTGCACTGTTGATTGCACCTATAATTGAGGTAAACATCTGACATGTTAAGTACGTACTGTCAATTTGTCAATGTTTTGTATTGATGATCACGTTGTTAGTGCAACTAAATAAACTAGTGGTCGCCCAGTAGTCGAAATTCGACTATAATTAATTGAAATTATATGTTTGTACACTATTATGATTCTATTTTCAAAGACTATTATACTTCTATAATCACAAATTTCGCCAAGACTACACTATAGAAAAATAATAATAAAGACAAACAATATTTAATCTATTCTCAATTTGACCGTCAAGAACACGGAATAGATAAATAAGGTGGTCAAGAACAAGAAAGACGTCAAGAACAAAGGTTTGACAATAAATAAATAATATGCATGCGTGTGTGCAATATAATGGTTGTACTACTGGAGATATAACTCCAAGAGGGCTGACGTTAGGCAGACGCTCGGTCTCGAAAAATATGATAAATTCCTGTGCAGCATATTAAGAAGACATGCTGCGCCCCACCCACATAATGTGGGATAAGGGCAAGAATAATTTTTTGTGGTATGTGGGACGATTCAGTTAAATAATTTACCATACCTTAAACTCGGATAACATCAAAGCGCTTCTCTTCAATACGGCTGGACCTTCAATAATGAACAGGGTCTGGTCGTTGGCGTCCCTAACCCGGTACTCTGGTATCATCCATGTACAGCTTTGTTGGATACGTCCCACGTAGTCGCCTGGAGGCGTTATCACTTTCATTTCCTGAAAGACAGTTTTTTGAAGATTGACTCTTACTGACTGATCTGACTGATAAATTTGATAACATTTCATCAAGTTAGATCGTAGTGCGAATATTAATGGAATTTCTGACTTCCAACGGTAGCTTCAGATAAAGTATGCTTTGTTCCTATTTCGTTACATTTAAAATTTGATTGTATACTTATATATTTTTTGAATTTTCGTCAGACGTCTAGACTTTTTTTTCTATTTATAGGCCAAAAGTTGTTAATGTATCCCACTAAAGAATTAGCTCACTTGCAGTCGACAAGGCCACAAACAAGATGCCCCCGCCAACCTTCGCTTCAGCACCATGGCCTCTTGCCTCGTGTTGTCATGAAGATGCATCATGAAGGCTCGACCATTCCCACAGATACACCTCTGGGTTGGACACGACACTTCGTTGCCGATGTACAAAGCTTCTCCATTCGGTACCCTCACTATGTAACGATTCTCCGATTCTATTTTAGAAGTCACTGAAAAAGCATCAACTTTTATTTCGAAGCCAAATGATTATTAGGTTACTCCAATTAATTTCTATTTTGTGACAACTTGGAAAAATCAAATCTAAGATTATTCCGGAACGATTTTACCAAAGTAGTGAAATAAACGTTTATAACATTAGCGGCACTACAGAATTCACGTATTTGTAATAGAATTCCGTCATGATTACAATTACGTTCAATAATATGGGCAAAACAAAACCTTTCTCTTTCTATTTTCAATCACCATCATCATCATTATCAGCCTATAGCAGTCCACTGTTGGACATAGGTTCTTCCAATTCCACACCACTGAGCCTCTCACATCCAACACTCTTTTCAATGTGTCATAAAAATGTATACACTTACGATCATCAAGCTCAACGGTCTGTTGTATTAGAAGACTGGAAACTCCAATTAGAAAGTCCAATCCATGTACCGGGATGAACTGACCTCGAGGGTTGGAGCGCCAGTTGACCGTGGTCACTGGTAATTCTGCACGAGTTCCTTTAAGTTTGTTGGTAATTGTTATATTTCGTAATATAAAACTTTAAACTGAATACAATTTAGGTTTGGATTCAATTTAAGTTCATTAGTATAAAGTGAATTTGAAATTATAACGTTAATGCGTGGAGGTTTGATAATCACCAGCTTCTGTATCGCTGTAGTCTTTGGGATCGACAATGTTAGAAAGAGTATTAACTAGCTTTCTGTTATTTTTTTTAAAACAGTTCTTGCGTTGGTTATATGTGGCTTCTTCTAGAAAATAATGGCTCTCCACAATAAATTTGAAACGTAATTTTAAATGTCAAACAGTATTTGAAAACTCACCATGTGATTGCGGCTGAACGCTAATTACCAAATCAGGTCTTACGTGGGATCCATAATCTGAAATTATCTTTCTATTTTATTGTTGTCATTTTTTATGTAGACGACGAAGACGGCGACACTCACGTCCTGGTATTACCCATAGACCAATGCCGTCGATGGCCATTGATTAAATATGTCTAGAACGTTCTCATCTATTTTAGTAAGCGCACAATGAGTCACGAAATTTTCATTATAAATGTGATCGAATCTAGAACTCTTTTAAATCAGCTTGTGTGCAGCAGTTTGGTTGTGCCTCTGGAATTGCTCGAGTCACTGAGTGGCGGTAAACACAACACCTACAGCTTTCAATACAAATGTATGTAACTCCTAAAAAGATTTTACAAAACACTTTTTCTATTGTGTAACGAAACTAGTAAGAAATCTATCGCTATTTAAATAAATATGTTTGGTATATCCTAAATAAGGGAAATAAATTTTACACGGTACAACCTTAACAATCTTTAGTACTAAATTAATTGATTGAGTTAATCTGTTTGATTACAAAAAAGGTTTAATACCGTCTGTGGCAGCCGGATTATCGATTCCTCGATCGCCCACTCCAGTTTCACGATCAAACACTTTCAGATCCATCTATAGCAGCAGATGCGAATTCTTGTCAATTGTTTGTAAAATTTTCACGAAGATGTTGTTTGTTATGAATATGTTTTACCACTACAACATCCACGTTTTGCACTTGTTCACTTATCGAATTATCAATAAAAAGATAATTCAGCACTATCTATAGCCGCACGTCGATACTGTGTAGCGTTGAGTGCACAAACGTAATCATTAACATCGCTTCATTATCGTTCATATTTAGTGTACTTTGTTTTCTATAGACAATATATAGTAGATATGTTTGCCATATTAGGTATTAAAAGAGCATCAGATTGAAACAAAATTTATTGGAAACCATTTATATTCGCGTGTATTCATTGGAAATATTATACGTTTTTTAAAAGATCGATAAAATTTATGATAGTAATTTATTTATTTTTTCATGAATTATTGAGTTACATTCATTTTCTTATGTTTACACTAACTACTTCAACTTCATTTAAATGTATTTCAATAACAATTTTATAAATATTAATTCAAACATTTCGAATATTCCTTCGTTGATTATTGTAAAATTTTCGGTCGATTATTCTCGGTAAAGGACACGTTTTTAGCCAAAAATTTTGTTCGGAAGACTTAGAGGAAAGAGTAAAACAGTTCACTCTCATAAAGATACACTTTATGAACATGACTAATGTAAATTAGTCATTAGTGTGAACCCAACTTTTATTGTCCTAGTATACAGTATAGTTAAAAGTGCCGACATATAATTAAATGCGCTATGCGATTTTATACGTGATTACAGTTAAAACATAATGTTGAGGTGATCCAGTCCATATCCAGACGAGTAAATTGTTTAATATAAGTTTAAATAAATATAAAATATATAGAAGCCTGGGTGAATAATNAAATTAGTCATTAGTGTGAACCCAACTTTTATTGTCCTAGTATACAGTATAGTTAAAAGTGCCGACATATAATTAAATGCGCTATGCGATTTTATACGTGATTACAGTTAAAACATAATGTTGAGGTGATCCAGTCCATATCCAGACGAGTAAATTGTTTAATATAAGTTTAAATAAATATAAAATATATAGAAGCCTGGGTGAATAATTCCAAATGCACCCATCGAGTTTATTGTAGTTCTCGTAATTTCCATAAAACACTGTTTCGACAGTACACGATATTTTAATACGACATTTAGACAATAAGAATAAGTTTAATATTTGTTTCGACATATTTGAATTGTGTCGAATAAAATACAATGTTAACAACGATAAATTTACTATCTCAATACATTCCACAAACACTTACAATGTCTTAAGTTCCCGCCCAACCGCATATTATAAAATCGAATTCCTATCTGAAACACAATAGCATAAAACTTGTCTAATAAAATTGTCTTACAACAATTCATATATATGACTCCTAAACTATTGATTTCATTTAAAAATTACATATAACAATCAAAGCGTGGGAGTACCGCATAAATACACACTAGCTGACTTTAATATAGAGAACAATATTGTGACTTAATTATGTATCCGTACGGGCCTATGGCTGGTTAGACTCGTACGAACATAACAAATGACGTTTGAACTCTTACGATAAATATTATACTATATTATTATGAGTTAATGGCGACATATTAGATCTAGAAAATACTGTTTTCTATCTTCTTGCAAAATGTTTCATTTTAAGATGGCGCATAGGTATGTCATTAAGACGAAAATGCTTTTCTAATATTCCTCGTGAACGCAATGGCCTAAGCTGTTGTGATTATTTGATCTTCTCAAAACCATTATTGAATAGTCTATCGTCGAAGGGCTCTCTGCCAGCCGAGGTTTAATTTAAGGGTTGCCGGGAGACAGGGGCTTGCCTCGCATTCTCCATCCATTTCGTCGGCCAAATTGTCATGTAGTTCTCGAAGAGCCATGAGCGCAGATCTAGCTGCTCGTTGGCAGCTCGAATCTCCATCACATGCAGTGTCAGCTTCAGATATAAATACTAAGTCGCAGGTTGTAGGTGGTGCTTCGCCCTAAACATAATTTACGAATTGAGGTGAAATGTTCAATACGTGGAAGCTTAATCTTTGAGACTTGTGTTGAAGTAAACTTACGCATAAATAACAGATTTGATGTAGACTGCAAAGGGGGAGGAACAACTGGCCTCTGTCACCAGCCAGCAAGTCCACTCCACGGCATCGTTGTATAATTTTTGCTAACACAGGGCATGATCCAGATGGTCCACCTGGGTATGTAACGTATGATTTAAAAACTGAATACAAGATTTAAAAAAATATTTTTATTTCATTCTCCTTACTTTTGTTTAGACATAAAGCTGTAAAATAATTAATGAGATTACCTGTTGAGATTACCGGGACCCGATGCCTGCCGCTACCGCCCATGTATCCCTCTGAAAATTGTTCGTCGATTTTTCCATTTAAGTAATGTCCAGCGCCTTGTTCATCTTCAAAGTCATCGTTTAGCTGGTTTTTGTTTGATGCCGATATTTCATTGTCCAAAAGCTCTTTTTTTACAGCAACCCTTTTAGCTTTGCCTTCTTCAACAGGAATGGCGGATGCTGTTAGTTTCTGTGTCTGTAGGCTTTGCTTAAATTCTTTTAAAGCTTTTCTCATTTTTTCCAAGCTATAGGCTGCAGCCAAACGGGATAGCAGCTTCTCTTTCATTTCTTGTTCTTCCTTAGAATCCAGTTCTTCCCCGCCATTGGAATAGTGTAAGGCTTCATCAACAATCAAACCTTCCATGTTCCTTAGTTTCTTGTCAATGTTATCTAATTTGGAGTCGTTGTCCTTTGCAATTCTTTTATTATCATTCTTAAGCGCAATAGCTTGTGTGCGATCGATCTGTATTTCTGTTTCTTCGTTAGAATTAGGCTGAATAAAGTTTCTCTTCACTTTGTCGTGTTTGCGAAACGTTGTTAATGGATAAATGACTTCCTTATTGAACGTGTTAAAGTATTGTTTTCTTAAACGATCTTGAGTTAAATCGTTAACGAATTTTTTTGTCTTTTTGTTACGCTTATCGATACCGAAGTAGTCGGACCAATCGATAGACTTCTTTCTAACTGTAATTGGCTTTTCACTTTCTCCATCGTTATGGTCATCAGTAGAGTTGTCGGGTTCTGCTTCTTTACCGGATGTTCCAGGATGGTGCATGTTATGTCCTTGATGTTCGTGACTATCGTCATCTTGTTTCGACGAATTATCCAGTAGAGTATGGTTGTGTGGTATAGGTAATATAGGTGGTTTGGTTTCATGTAATTCTATGTTGTCACTGCTACGTTTAACTGGGTTTTTAATTATGTCCTGCTCCCCAAAAATTTTTGATAAATCTTTTATGACCCTAGGATCAGTACCGGTATTTCGGAATGCCTTCGACGTTTCTCGCTTATTTTGATTTTGGGTGAATTGTTTGTTTTGATTTCCGAAATCATACGGACCGCTGCTTCGTTTCGAGACCGGAAATCGTTTCTCTACGTTATCATAGGGATACTGATCATCATCAGCTAAATCAGACAAATTGTCGTCATCTAATGGTTGAAAAGCAATTGCGTATTCCTCAAGTAAGTCGTCCTTATCGTCATCGTCAATATTATAGCCATTATAAATGGGGTCCACAGTGACTGGTCTCTGTTTTCCCTCATCGTATTCGGTTAAAATCCTCTGATTTGTTTCTGAATTCGAACTGCGTTTCTTTTTAAAGGCAATGGGTCCCCAATTATCAGGGTATCGTTTTTTGACAACTTTATCCTTGTATAGCTTTACGACACCTTGCGGCATAGCTTCCGTATTCTTAGGGTGATTTTTGTTGTATTTGTATTTTGACCACAGCTCTCCGAGCAATAAAGCGTATTCAGCATCATTCTTGTTGATATCTGAAGGATCGTTTTTGTTTTCAGCTTCTCCTTTCTCCATGAAAAGATCACGTAGTTTTTCATTGCTTGGACTTTGAGCTCTTTCGCGGAATGCCGATTCCTTTTTTGAGGATGACTCAGGAAAGTTCTTCTTTCTAATCACTTTATATTCGTAAGCACCCGGAGGTCTGTCGTTTTCATCGAGTAATTTAACCATATATTTGGAATTGGGTTCTTCATCAAGGTCTTCTATATCCATGGGGTAATCTTGATCTAAAAATAAAGATTTTTTTGAACAAACACAATGTCATTATAAATCTAAAACTTCTACAATAAGGTTTATATTTTACACACTAGTGATGTTTGCTAATTTTTTAAATATATTTTTCTGTGGTGATCAGAATCGCTTTACAAGACAGTATCGTTTTGCTATACCTAATTAGTAAGTTGTTTCCTGATTTTTAAGAAGTATCATTCGTATGTATTTGTTATACCTGATAAAAAGCATTTCGATCCAACCTTATAATATAATATGTGTGTTTTGATCTCGTCATATCCGTTTATATCCAAACGCATCCAAATATTTGATTTTCCTTGATAGTTATATCTGTTCAGATTGTATACTCTGATCGTATAGTAGAATAATAAGAAATAGACGTAAATAAGTATATCTGCTTAGATATAAATCTGTTTATACATCTGATCTGTTTATATATCGGATTTGAGCAGATTTAACTACAAATGCTTATTTCTAAAAAGACCAAATATTTGTTTTTTTTATATAAACAGATTTAACGAAATCCAGACATGTATGGTTGGGTCCAAAAAATTTTTATTGCTTAACTGCCGATTAATTAGTTTTTATTACATTATTTATATTACCTACTGTTCTAATATTTTTCATTTGATCAAATTGTAAAATAAGGGTCTACATTTTTATTCTGCTATAATATTCTATGATAAAAATCACATGATTATTAACGGAGTGTAGTGTCACTAACAAAAACTCAGCTTCCATTTGACTGGTAATTAAAGAAATATTTTCCAAGTACCTAATACTAATGTTACGATAATCATTTTTCAATTTATCACTGTGTCTTAATCTTTTACCAACCTGGGTATGCTTGAGGCGGTATAAACTCATACAGGGCATCGTAGTCTGGTTCTGGTATGATAGGGCCACGTGTGCGGCCTCGCTGACGACGTTGTAGGGCTTCAAGGGCTCCCCGGAGTGAAGAACCGCCGCGCTCACTGTTGGCACACGCCACAGTGCACGCGACCAAAGCAATTATCCACGTTAAATTCATTCTTCTAATTCCTGTAAAAACTTGTTACTAAAAACCCCACATTAAAATAGCACGTGCTTATTAGTGATAGTATTTAAGATCGGTTTGGAGGATTAGGAATTAGGTGTTCAGATAGCAAACGTATTACTGAACTTTTATGGTAGTATTTTTACTGTATTTTTAAATGCTGCTATAGGTACTTCTTCTTTTTCACGAGCTTTGATTTTATAGCATTTGCAAGTATGTAATTCATATAAATTAAAAGAAACTAGTCCTATCTATGTCCTATAGATTTAGCATCCCGAGAAAAGTGCTAGTTAGCCACTGTTATTACCTCGACTAAATACCTGAAACACTAAAACTCTATGGCCTTCAATTGTTCAACATCCCATCCGGTATAAAAGGCACAATCTGCGGTAGAAATTCGACGGACTCGGTAGTAGTAGTTAGATAGCGCCCCTGATTGCTGGGCCGAGGCTCGTGAGATCGATTAATAGGTTCATGTCGAAATCTTCGGCGGATTCTACGAGTAAATGGTGCAAACAAGACATTGCGTTGTCTAATGTCTATAGGCAGTGACAAGTTATTCACTTTTAAAATTTACAAATTAGCGTCAATCAAGTATATATGGACATATATTCCATTACGTGAACAATGGTCACGAATTCATGACAATTTTTTATTTATTAATGACTTTCGAATTATTATACTTGAGCCATCTTGGGAACATTTTAATGTATCCTTACTTCCCTTCTGAATTTCGTTTTTCTTAAAAGTTGTTTGAGCGAGTTTTCTTTTGAGCAAGTTTTCTTTTTCTTCAACGACCAAGTTATAACCAAGTTGAAACGCTTTGATTAGTTACGTAAATTTATAAAATAAACCACAGTTCTTTTTATGCTTCAAGAATTTCTTAAAGTATGTTTTTCTCGTGGATGTGGGTAAGAGTGTGGGTGAACAGATTGGCAGCGATCATTACCACCCACGTTTGAAGTCGTCGTGGCCTAAAGGATAAGACGTCCGTCCGGTGCATTCGTGTTGAGCGATGCACCGGTGTTCGAATCCCAGGCGGGTACCAATTTTTCTAATGAAATACGTACTCAACAAATGTTCACGATTGACTTCCACGGTGAAGGAATAATTTAACATCGTGTAATAAAAATCAAACCCGCAAAAATTATAATTTACGTAATTACTGGTGTTAGGACCTCTTGTGAGTCCGCACGAATAGGTACCACCACCCTGCCTATTTCTGCCGTGAAGCAGTAGGTAATGCGTTTCGGTTTGAAGGGTGGGGCAGCCGTTGTAACGAGACCTTAGAACTGATATCTCAAGGTGGGTGGCGCATTTACGTCGTACATGTCTATGGGCTCCAGTAACCACTTAACACCAGGTGAGCTGTGAGCTCGTCCACCCAGCTAAGCAATAAAAAAAAACCTTACGTCACATTATTTAAGTATACCAATACTGCAGCTTACCGTAAAATACCCTCCAACGTCGACTGGACTTAAAAAAAAGTAGCTCATTCAAGTTTTATGGTTGGATGTCGGTAATTGAAACAGAAGATCAATCCAAAAGTTTTTATTTTATTGCTTAGATGGGTGGACGAGTTTATGGGCCATCTGGTGTTATTTTTTTTGCGGTAGGCAGCGGCTTGGCTCTGCCCCTGGCATTGCTGAAGTCCATGGGCGACGGTAACCACTCACCATCTGCCTACAAGGGCAATAAAAAAAAAAAAAAAAAAAAGTGGATATCAGAGCCATAGACATCAACAACATAAATATCGTTATCCACCTTAAGACATGAGCTTTAAGTCTCAATTTCAACAGCACAACAGCTGCCCCATCCTTCAAAAGGAAACGTATAATATTACTGCCCTACGGCAGATATAGGCAGGTAGTTATCCAGGTGTACTCACAAATCGACATACCACCAGCAATTACGCAATTTTTTTTTGTGGGTATTATTTTTATTGCACTATGTTATTTCTTTCACCGTGGAAGACATTTTTTAAAAAATCGGTACCTGCCTTCAGTCCGGACTCGAACACCGATACGAATGCACCGACCGTCTTATCTTTTAGTCCGCAGCAACTCAAATTTACACAAGATTAGAAAAATATACTTTAATATATTATGCTATGGGATCTACGTTCGATACTCAAGCAAACCTTGTCTCTTTACTTACTCTCATCAAAAGTTAGTATCTTTGAAAAATAAATATGTTTATTGAGTTTTAGGTGTATTTGAGAGAAAAGAGAATAAATACTTTATCTCATCCTCCTCCTCCTCCTCGAGTCGTGTTCCTCATGTCTGAGGGTCGTGACCACCATCACCCATGAGCTTCAATCTTAGGATCTTTTTCCACTTTCCCCTGTCCACGGCGTATCTCATACCAAAACATAATTAACATTTAAAATCAGTCAACAGACAGGTGTAATCAGGCTTAGAAGCCTCAGAAAATTTAATCAATGTCGTTTCGGGAAAGCCGTAGTATGACGTCCCATATTTCGTACAGGTCGCGGTCGGCAGGAGACACAAAGCCCTTTTCTACGCATAAAGGTTGTAATGCGCCTTCCATTTTATGTTTTTCCCTTGAGGTATTATGTTATCGAACCATAAACCTTATTTAATGTTGAAGCCTCTTTATTTGTGAATTCGCTGTTAGGATTTGAGATTACTGGTTAGTGATGGATTGTAGGTTTTTACATTTTTATTTTTATTATTTGCATCGGTTGATGAGCTCACGTCCCACCTGATCTTAACTGGTTATCGAAGCCTATAGACATTTACAATGTAAATGCCCCCACCCACCTTGAGACATGAGTTTTAAGGTGTCACTTTTAACAGTAAAACGGCTGCCCCGCCCTTCAAACCGAAACGCATTACTGCTTCACGGCAGAAATAGGCAGGGCAGTGGTGCCAACCCGTACGGACTCTCAAAACGTCCCACTACCAGTAATTATGCAAATTATAATTTTTGCGCGTTTGATTTTTATTACACGATGTTATTCCTTCACTGAGGAAGTCAATCGTGAACATTGGTTAAGTACGTATTTCATTAGTAAATTTTGTAACTGCCGGCGGGATTCGAACACCGATGCATCGCTACCTACATATGCAGCGGATGTCTTATCCTTTAGGCCACGACGACTTCAAAATACATTGTTACTTACATTGTTTTAAGACAGCTATTCGAGCTCACAACCACTTCGTGCTTAGCGGCTAAGGGCTCATTGACACAAAAAGTGAATGACACTAGCCGGTAAATATTTCTGCAGCGGACAGGATAGCCGGTTTAAAATACACCCTTTAACAGTAAACGCTGGTCGAAGTGGGCTGGTAGGAAATAATTCTGATACCCATTCTCTGTTGCCTTTGCTGCCTCTGCGATCCCCGTAGGAAAAATAGGGTGGTGCTTTTCTAGGTGAATACCGCAAAGCTCAGGTGCCTTCAGTTTTTCATTGAGTTTATTGAAGCCTGTCTGTTTTGAATTAAAACAGATTTCATTAAAAGATAATGCAGCTTATGACACCCACGAGAGTAGCGGCTTTCGTTGTTCAAAATTAATGAAATTTATTTTCGAACTTGTTGAAATTTTAGAAACGTTTTATTCATAAATTGTTTATTGGGCAATAACGTAAGCTGAAACTGATAGAAAACTATAAAATAACAACTACGATTGTGTATCTATACTAATATATAAATCTACAGTGGTTTTTACGGATGTTCCGTTATAACTACTGAACCATGCATCCGATTTATTTGAAACTTGGTATCCATGTAGAAACTACATGTACTTAATGGATAGGCTAATATTTATATAAGTGTTGGACTCCCTAATAATAATGAAAATAAATAATAATGTTAATTTTAAATGCCCAGCCAAGCGGGCGAATGTTGCAAGTATTAATATACAATGATTACTTCATTGACGATGTCACTATTGCATACTTATTGACACAAGGTTCGTTTTTTACGAATTCAAAATGTTAGTTTGTAACTTTTCCACAAATAAATCCTAGTCTAGTAATTGAAGCCACGGATAGATTTAACGGCAGCAATAGAGAACAAGATAACTTTTTATTTATTGCTGCACCCTTCCGCAGCCGATTGCGATTTCCTTACGTGTGATGATGACATCATTCCCCATCCCATCTGACAACACAATATAACTTAGAACACAATAAATTGCGGGCCAATCATAGATTATACGAGTCGACTATTATCAAAGCCGGCAATGTGACTTTTGGACAATTATTGGTAAATCAGAAAAACGAATTATTGACTGTGTATTCCATTGGCAGTCACAAAACTCTTCTGAACGACATCTTAGATAAACAACAGGTTAAGTATTAACCTTTATTTAATGTAGGTTTTGAACCGTATTCTTTGAAGGAGACGATTATATTCAAATCAATCTGTATTGACATATCAATAAATTTTTTTTGTCCAAATGCACAGATTGCCACCTTTGATAATAGACGACTCATACACTCATTTACAACGATTATAATACTGCTTATAACGTTGTACTTTAGGCAGGATCGCAGAAAAGTTATACGGAAGGGGTTTGGAAAACCAGTATAGACCTGAATTTTTCCCACAATCAGTAAAATTAAGGTCAAAAGAGACACTAAGGGCAAGAATTGCGGATTGAGATGACAAATGAGTAGTGAATGCTTTCAGAATTCCGTAATGGTAGCTTCACTTTCCGCATCATCAAATTTGTCCTTTCAAACATCTAGGCTAACTAGCTCAGTGAAGTACTTGGACTAAAGTAAATTTAAAATAATGCTTTGTTTTGCATGGCCTCAAAAGTATACCTTAAATACAGCGAATCAGTAAAAACAAATAATCATTATAGTGTAAGCAAATTGAATAATGAACTGTCTGCTTCCACCATACCATGTTTTACTGGTGTATTGATGTATGTATTTGATATTGAAAATTAACTCAAATGTACTGATAATTGAAAGCGTGGGAGGAAATTCTAAAAGTTCAATGAACAAATCAACGGCACATATTGTGTACAACTTGCAAATTCTTTTAGAATAATGTTGAAGAATACATGGCTCTGTATTAGAACTATATAGAGGATGACTATTTTACACATATTTAACATTAATAATAAATATGCATGAGAAATCATACGCATGAGAAATCTGTTTTAGAAATACCTCCGTGTATATGTCTATTTAATAATAATATGAATTTGAATTTCCGAAAATGTGTCTAAATGTTATATCTCCAATACAGGCAGAAAAATCTCCAGCACTCCTGATTGTTTGAGGTTATTGTTGGCAAAGTCTATGAGAGTCACGCATTTTTCAAGTTATACGCGATAATGTTTCAAAAACAATTATTTTATTTACGGTATGAATAAAGAATTACTTGAACTCGAAGAAAGAACGCGTCTGTGTCAGCTAGAATGAGCGGTATTCTGTATGCAGATGTTACGGGTAATCATTATTGTTCATAAGCACAGGTCAGGCCAGAAACAGCCAATCCACAGCAAGTTTAAGCTCACTAACAACAATTATTAACATTTTGTGTATTGTAATTTAGTATCAGAGGCGATTTAATTGAATAACACAATTTTTTTTTTAAATATAATTTGTATGACTCACCTCAATACATTTCCACAACAAACACCAGAGACTGAATATGAAGCGTCTGCACCCACCGGTTCTTGAATAACAACTGTGCTGCCTAGACTGGGGGTAAACTGCGCAGGGGATGGTGCGCGACGTCTCCTATCCTAAGTTTAAAGGTACAGAAAGATCGTCCCGAGAACCTGTTGGCTACAGAACCTTATATATGAATGGTCGGTGGCTGGTAGTTTGCTGGTGTTGGGCGGGCGGCGGCAGGCGACGGCGCGCGGGGCGAGGTTATATAACGACGGCGATCGATACAACAAGAGTGGGGTCTATAACTGAGCTACACACATACTGCTCTAGGTTTCATTGGAAAACTATATTTGTCTAAATTAGAACCTCTTTTTGTTTTATTGATTATGTAATAATATTTACTAGTGGTCCCGCAGTAGTCGAAATTCGACTATAATTAATTGAAATTATAAGTTTCAACATTATTATGGTCCTATTGTTACAGATTTCGCCAATACTACACTATAGACAAATACTCGTAATATTAAAGATAAACAATACAAATCTATTCTCAATTTGACTACAGACTTTAAACAATAACAAAAGTTTGACAATAAACAAAGAGTATATATACATGTGTGTGTGTGTGTCAAATACATGGTAGTTAGTGTGTGTAATGTTTTCTTTATTGATTTAATGTATACTTTATGGATTATTTTAAAAAAAAATTAGCATTGTGCACTTCTTCTCTATATTCTCTATAAGTGTAGAAAACTTCATACTCCTCCGTCCCCGCATTTTTCGTAAAAAGGGATACAAAGTTTTTGCTTCACGTATTAATATATAGATTTATATTATTGTGACTCGTACGTCGTATATTTTTGTACTCATACGGATAAATTAATCGATTTTTAATAAAACTAAATATGTACATTAAAAATCTTATCGTCTGTGGTTTCTTTCATTTTGGGCTTTCAGCAATTGACATGGACACTTCATTGTGTATTCTAATAGAAAGTGATCTCTAATTCTGTACAGGTTCTTTCATTTGTAACTCTGGACAAATTACTCTCAGTTTTAAAAGAGCAACTGTTAATTTCCTTACATGGGTTTCAATGCGATCATAATATTTTGGTATTCAGTACTTAATTTTCTCTTACATCATACGAATTGTTGAAACGATAGCTTCGATTTTCCAATTTATAACCATCTGTCAACCAATGACGGTTATTAATCATCTGCGTCTCATAACATGTTTTCTGTTTATAATTTATATTAGTATACCAAATATATCATGCCACATATTCGACTAACCGACTCCATTTTCTATTGCATCACAAATAGTTATATCGATCTGTTTCGTAGCTGTTTCAAGAAATGGCAGGCAGAAGGATACGAACAAACACACGTTCTCATTAAAGACTGTATATTTTTTTTTCTTTGCGTACATGAATTGAATGACACCACAACGCAAATGCCCTCATCGTCCTTGAAATATAAGCTCGGAGTCTTAATTTTATTGTTGAACTACTCCTCCACCCCTCAGAAGGAATGAGTGCTTCGCGGCAGAAATACTATGCATCGTGGTACCTTGTTTAAGGTCCTAAGGCCGCCAGGGGGTAGAGGCAGAGGGCTTTAAAAGTACTTCGCCATTGCGATCTGCCTTGGCTAGGCGTTTACTTCAGGCCAGGTTGGGTCCTGGTATCTAATACTACCTAATTCTGCACGTGGCAGTATCTTTGCAGTTTTTAGAAAATAATACTTGTGGACTTCGCATGCTTTTTTTTTCTTACCTAAGCTGATGATAGCCTTGAGATGAGAGGCTATTTCAGCGTAACCTTAACTCGTAGGTGAGTTCACGGGGCTCAAATCTGACGACGTTGCTAACACGAACCCTAGCAAGAGTCGTGCTTCGCAGAATCTACCACCGGATCGGAAACGCGACCCACTGAGAAGATCTGGCGAGAAACTCAGTGGGCTGAGTCTGTGGGTTAATTTACTCGTCGAGCCCTACGTCGCAAGCGACGGATTGCACGAGAACGATGATCGGTGCTTGAGGTACCTAAAAGCACCGTTAGTGGATCGGGAGGATCAGAAATGGCGTGTTTTGGGCGACGTCGACTGCTTTCCATTCTGTACGCAGGATCGGAAATGTAGTTACCGGCGGCCACGATGAGAGGGCTCTCGTGTCGTGCCGCTTTACGAAGTGCTTCGCGTGAAAGCTTTTTACGAGCAGTCCGTTTGTATTGAAAATAGCAGAAGTGATGATGCAATTAAAACTGCTTGCTCATTCGCAAGGAAAATTAATAAAAAACAAATACTGCTCTGTTATTGGTCAGTGCAACTACACGTGAAATGTTAAGTACAATATGACAAAGGCATTGTGTAAATCAAAGGCTCTCAAACTTTTTAACACACAAGCCAATCAGGATGAATTAAGGTTTTTATTTTTCGTCTTCAGGTCTCGGACAGTAATTTCATTATTTATTTCACTCTATTTCCTCATTACTTATGTTTCGTAACGCTTTTATTTTGCTACTTAAAACTGTAGAAAATCTAAAGATCTAAATGAAAAATGTGGGTCAGGGCGCGTTGTAAGGCCAGAGGGGTGAGAACCGACAGCCTACTTATTTTTGTTCCGAAGCAGTAAAGGGATCCATTTTTTATATAGCCGTTGAATTTATAGTTGAATTTTCGCTCTCATATATCGAGATGAGTGACGATATTTGCTTTGTGATGTGTATGAACAAGATAAAATCAACAATAGGGGGTCCATGAGCTGTTTCATTCAATAAATGAATTTAAAAATCCGCCTCTGCGTGTTTGTATCGTCGACTTTGGGAAACACCGAGTTAGATTATAACGCTATGCTTAGTGTTAGTTGAATCGATCGGCGTCGCGTCACGAATCTAGTCAGTAGACCGTTTTCATTGTTTAGTATTGCAATAATTTTATCGTGAAACTATTGTAAATGAAAAATATTACATCGACTATAGAATAATTAATTATATGGATTATAAATGCTTAGAATGAAGTATAGCGGATTAGGAAATGATTCATATTGCGTATTACAACACGAAAATGCAAAGGCTTATTTTATAGTTTACTAATGATGAAATATCTTCGATAGCTCATGAGTTACAACAAGAATAATGGAATAAAAGCAGATATAACTCGTTCTCTGGCAGATAGCTATTTACATGAAAAGGGCTCGTCAATTATTGTCGGATGGGTTGTAACACATAAGTTACACTGAACCTATAAATCCCTTCATAAATGCCGCTGCCCACTTGAGATATTAGGGCTACTCATGTAAATTGAGGCAACAGCTATACGGTCTTGAGTTTTTTCGCGGCAGAAATAGACGTAACTGTCACGCCAGAAGTTTTTTTTTTATTGCCCTTGTAGGCAGACGAGCATACGGCCCACCTGATGGTGAGTGGCTACCGTCACCCATGGACCTCAGCAATGCCAGGGGCAGAGCCAAGCCGCTGCCTACCGCTAGCCTATGAGTATACTTTACTTTAGGAGTGAGTTAGTACTGAGTTAGTACTTAGTTAGTACTGAGTATACTTTAGGAGTCTTCAGGCATTCGTGAATCGGCAGATCAGTATTGTGTTTCTATGTAAATGCTTTTATTCGAAAACTCGTCAAGAGACCAAAAATTTGCTATTCAAGTTAATGCGAAACGACGCTTTAGAGGTCGGAGATTAAAGAGAAAATTACTTAATTTAAATCTCAGGTTTTCTGTCCGTGCCAAGTCGACCCGAGCCGGTGACGCGAAGTGCTTGCTACTTTTCGCTCGAAAGCCTCTGAGATTAGATTTGCATTAATTCCGAGTCCTTTCTCGACGGCTGACACTCAAACCGCATAATCTCCCGAATTTAGATCGCAATTATGATGTCTGGAGATATGCGTATGTTTTAATACGCTTTTATTAGCTTCAGACGTTAGTTTGTTTGTAACGGAATCTTTGAACATGATTTTGACCCCCCTTCAAAACGTCGGATTAACTCGAAATTTGGTATACTTATTAAGGACCGACGACAAGTCAATATTAAAAAAAAATAAAAAAAAATTGAAGTTCTAATTTATTAAAATTTATTTTCTATTTTTTGTTGGATTTTCTATAAAAGCGTATTTTGCTAGTTTTTTTAAACCATTATTTATTTCTTTGAAGTTTTACAATTGCCGTCGGTACCTTTGTATTCACTGTTCAGGTTAGTTACTATTTATTGCCTTTAATATTAAATTGGACATGATTGTACTGAATATTTATTTAATATTAACTCGTAGTATTATTGAAATTTTAATTTTATAAAGCTATATACTGATTACTAATGCGACCAATGGATTATTTGGGCTTAAATGCGTAAATGTGCAGCGTTCTGTTCCAGCAAGTATTAGGTATTTAGAGTAAAGACCTAATAAATAAAAAAACAGTGTACGGGCTAATATAAACTATTTATTTATTATATATTAATGTTCACTAAAACAAAAGATTCCTTCATATTATACAATCTTTATATTTTGAAATAAATAGCTATCATTATTTACTCAAAACAATGGAAGAGTTTCTCTGAAATTCACTACGTTTTAGTCTATAAAAATGATCGTGAAAAATAAAATAAAAACCAAGTGAGGTCTTTATTAAAGCCTAGCTTAAAAACGAGTTTTAACTAGAGCTGCACTATTCAAAGCTCCTTTTGTTGAAAGCCATTATGTCTGAGCTTTATATTCTTCTATAATAACAATGTACTGTAAGTTGTTTGAAAGGTTTTTGTTGTTTTTGTTTTTTGTTTCTGTTTGTGTTTCTTACTATTAAAACTGCTTTTCTTTTTCGTTATGGTTGGCATGAAAGCTTTTATGTTGTGTTGAAACTTTCGAAAAAGTATAAAATGAAATTAAGTCCTATTTTAATTTTTATTCCTTACTAGCTGACCCGGCAGACTTCGTAGTGCCTCAATCGATAAATAAAAGACAGATCAAGGGGACACATCAAAGGAAAAACAAAATTGTTTGTTTTTATATAATACCGAGCTTTTTTATATTTTTTCACCTTTGAAACCTTCCCTGAACTTCCACGAATAATTCAAGACCAAAATTAGCCAAATTGGTCCAGCCGTTCTCGAGTTTTAGCGAGACTAACGAACAGCGATTCATTTTTATATATATAGATTAACTTGTAGTCACGTAGTAACCTTACCTTTA